CACTGTCCCTGATATCGGACCCCTCCTCCACCCTCTGGAAGAAGCTGTCAGCGTCAATTTCATTCCCAAATTAGTGAAACACCCTCACTTAACCCCAGCAGAAAGATCACTCCTTGCACTACCACCGAGACTAGGGGGTATGGGATTGACCAATCCAGAGGAGATTGCTGCCACCGAACATCAAAACTCAGTTAAGCTCACGGCAGCCCTCACGGACCACATAATAGCTCAGAACGCAACAGGTGAGGTGCATACCAGCGAAGTAAACAAGATTCGAAGGTCCATTATGACAGAACGACAGCACAGCCAAAGTGATAAGTTGCAGCAACTGTTGTTGCAAGTACCAGAGAATTTGAAAAAAAGTAGCTATAGCGCAGGAGGTGGGTGCCTCGAACTGGTTAACTACGTTACCGATAAGGGCAAATGGTGTCAGTCTCAATAAACAAGAATTTACAGATGCCAATGCTCTAAGGGACGGTAGGCCAGTGGAAGGTTTGCCCTCCCAATGCGTGTGTGGCTCTTCCTATGACGGCGATCACGCCATGGTGTGCAAGAAAGGGGGCTTCATATGCATGAGGCATGACGAAGTAAGGGATCTCACAGCAAATATGTTGAAGGAAATCTGCCAGGATGTCATGGTGGAACCGACCCTCCTTCCATTGGACGGTGAGATCTTCCAACATTGGACCTTAAACACATCCAACGAAGCCCGTGTTGACGTCAGCGCTCGAGGATTCTAGACGTGGGGACAGCGAGCCTTCTTCTACATCAGGATTTTTTATCCCATGGCCGCATGTCACCGTAACTTAGCTCTCGATGCTGCACACAGGAGGAACGAGAACGACAAGATAAGGGCATATGGGGAGAGAATTCAGAACGTTGATCAAGGCAGCTTCACTCCTCTAGTGTTCACGACCTCTGGTGGGATGATACCAAGTGCAAGATGTTTCTACGCCAGACTCGCGGAGGTGATCTCCGAACAGAAGCAGCAGCCCAGAAGTTATGTTACAGCCTGGATGAGATGTCGACTGTCCTTCTCTCTCCTTAGGTCGGCTTTGTTCTGCCTCAGGGGAACGAGAGCTTCGGCCCCAAAGCCGTCAACAGCTGCAGATATTGACTATGAGGCTACAGTCAGTGAATGCCGCATAGATCTGCGGCTCAACTAATTAAACAGAGCTAGGATAGCTACTTATGTATTAGGATATTTAATATTAAGGTAATAAAATGGTGGCGAAGGTGTGGCTATTGGGGGAGGCTGGAGGCCACGTTAAAAAGAAAAAGCTGTTGTTGTGGTTAGTAGTAGTTGTTGTCGTTAGTAGTAATTCCAAGTGATATTTGTACTTGTAGATAGTAGCAGTTGTTGTGGTTAGTAGTAGTGGTTATGGTTAGTAGTAGTCGTTATGGTTAGTAGTAGTCGTTATGGTTAGTAGTAGTCGTTATGGTTAGTAGTAGTAGTTGTGGTTACCGACGAATTAAACAACATTCGACTATCCATTACAACAGCACACCCAAAGTGATAAAATTCAACAACCGACGCTGGGATTATCAGGGAAGGTGGGAAAAAGTAGCGAGAGCAGGAACTAGCTGCCTCAAACTGGCTGTCAACGTTAACGGTAAGAACAAAGGGCTTCATCCTTAATAAACAAGAATTTATTGATGCCATTGTTCTAAGGTACGATTGGCCGGCCAGTAGAAGTTATGTGGTTCATCCTACGACACTTGACGACGGTGAGACTCTCCATCATAACGAAACCTGTGTATCAATTTGTCATAGGTGGTACAGACATTCATGAGAGCTACCGTGTGATGTGATGTTTTTGTGTTCCTCTTCCCGACTATCATTTACGCATGAGTAAACACGTGTTAGATTCTCATTTGACACGTTATCTCAGGGAATGTTTGTCATGGATGGTAAATCGATGAGTTAAAATAATATTCTAGTTTTTAACTCTCAAACAGGATAGTAGTAGTAGTAGTAGTAGTAGAAAGAAAGAACACTTCTTGCACTTCCACCAAGACTGGGAGGGATGGGACTAACTAATCCAGAGGAGATTGCTGACTCTGAACATCAAAATTCACTTAAGCTCACGGCAGCCCTCACTGACCACATAATAGCCCAGAATGCAACAGGGGAAGTGGACACCAGCGAAGTTAATAAGATCCGTAGGTCCATTACAACAGATCGGCAGCACTGCCAAAATGACATGTTGCAGCAACTATTGCTGCTGGTTCCAGAAAATTTGACAAAAAAAGTTGCTATAGCGCAGGAGGTGGGCGCCTCGAACTGGTTAACTACGTTACCGATAAGGGCAAATGGTTTCAGCCTTAACAAACAAGAATTTACAGATGCCATTGCTCTAAGGTACGGTTGGCCAGTAGATGGTTTGCCCTCCCAATGCGTGTGTGGCTCTCCCTATGATGGCGATCACGCCATGGTCTGCAAGAAGGGGGGCTTCATATGCATGAGGCATGACGAGGTAAGGGATCTCACAGCAAATATGTTGAAGGAAATCTGCCGGGACGTCATGGTAGAACCGACCCTCCTTCCACTGGATGGCGAGATCTTCCAACATAGGACTTCAAACACTTCTAACGAAGCCCGTGTGGACGTCAGTGCTCGAGGATTCTGGACGCGGGGACAGCGAGCTTTCTTCGACATCAGGATTTTTGATCCCATGGCCGTTTGTCACCGTAACCTAGCTCTCGATGCTGCGCATAGGAGGAACGAGAACGACAAGAGAAGGGCATACGGGGAGAGAATACAAAATGTTGATCAAGGCAGCTTCACTCCTCTAGTGTTCACAACCTCGGGTGGGATGGGCCCAAGTGCAAGATGTTTCTACGCCAGACTCGCGGAGCTGATCTCCGAACAGAAGCAGCAGCCCAGAAGTTATGTTACAGCCTGGATGAGATGTCGACTGTCCTTCTCTCTCCTTCGGTCGGCTTTGCTCTGCCTCAGGGGAACGAGAGCTTCCGCCCCTACTCCGACAACTGCTGCAGATATTGACTATGAGGCTACAGTCACTGAATGCCGCATAGATCTGCGGCTCAACTAATTTAACACAGATAGGATAGCTTCTTATGTATTAGGATATTTAATATTAAGGTAAATAAATGGTGGCGAAGGTGTGGCTATTGGGGGAGGCTGGAGGCCACGAAAAAAAAAAAAAAAAAAAGTAGTAGTAGTAGTAGTAGTAATAATAATAATAATAATAATAATAATAATAATAATAATAATAATAAGACCTATATTTCAACAAGGTCATAGGCAATTTAAGTATGGCTTTACCTTCAGTATGACTCATTGCCCGAGGTGTTTTGTTACTGAAGGCAGACAGACAGACAGACTGACAGACAGACAGACAGACAGACAGACAGAAACCCAATGCTATAATTTACAGCAATGGTAGTGAGTGAGGAGAGGTTAACCACGAGGGGGAAAAAAATATCGACTAAAGTTTAAGGTGTTGGGCGGTGTGGCGGTCAGACGAACATTAAAGTGTGTGGTTAGGTTAGGTCACGGTGTATCCCCAAACACTAACCAGAATATTTAGTAAACTTGGATATGAGATGATCTATGCGTGTTGTTATAGAGAGGAAAGGTAGTTTATAGGCATTTTGAGTGATGTGCAAAAACAGTGTAGCTGACGAGGAAGGGGAGGGGGGGAGGGTTACTGTTGTGTAAATAAGTCAAGTGAGAAATAACAATAAATTATAACCCAACCCAACCCAACCCAGCCCAGCGCAGCCCAACCCAGCGCAACCCCATCCAACCCAAAACCCAACCCAACCCAACCCATAAAAAGCCAGGCAGCCATTACCAACGGACACCCGATCAGCTGAGACCCTGCACCAACCGCAAAAGCTGATGGGTGAAAATAAATACCTAGTGAGTTTTTTTTCCCAGGATAGTGTAGCTGATGGATGAAAATAAATGCCTAGTGAGTTTTTGTCCCCAGGATAGTGTAGCTGATGGATGAAAATAAATGCCTAGTGAGTTTTTTTTCCAGGATAGTGTAGCTGATGGATGAAAATAAATGCCTAGTGAGTTTTTTTCCAGGATAGTGTAGCTGATGGATGAAACTAAATGCCTAGTGAGTTTTTTTTCCAGGATAGTGTAGCTGATGGATGAAACTAAATGCCTAGTGAGTTTTTTTTCCCAGGATAGTGTAGCTGATGGATGAAAATAAATACCCAGGTTAGTGTACTGTAGGTCTTGTCTCTTCCCTCCTCCCTCCCATAAAAGGCTTAGCTGCATCAACGCTTTTAAGATATAAGATGTCAAGGCGAGGCGATGTGCGTGTTGATAAGGTGTCGACAATAGCTCTGGGCAGTCCAATTGAGAAACTGACTTAATATAGGATAATACACCGCTCGTTGGGCTGACATCATTCACTGTATAATGTATGTATGCTGTTCCTCTTTGCCTACATGTATACACCATTGTCTCTCATGTGTACAGACTGACAGACGGACACACACACACACACACACGCCTCTAAGACAGTTTTGGCCAAGGTGTGTGTGTGTGTGTCATGACTGCTAATTACGACAGGAGTGAGATGGAGCTGACAGGATCGACAGGTGTGTCTCAAGTTTAAGTTTGGGGTTCTCACCTGTCTACCTTCAATTAAGTTTCTTGCATAATATTACTAGAAAAATCTTATGCAAGTTCTGGGGTTTAAATTGAAGGTTGGGTTAGGTTAGGTTAGGAGATGTGTGTGTGTGTGTGTGTGTGTGTTAGGAGATGTATGCTCTACTTAAGTAAATCACTTACAACAACTTTGGTAATTGAGATGACTTATTTATTAATTTACAACCTTATGAGTAAATTTAGGTGACGATTTACAACCTCATGAGTAAATTTAGGTGACGATTTACAACCTCATGAGTAAATTTAGGTGACGATTTACAACCTCATGAGTAAATTTAGGTGACGATTTACAACTTTGGGTAAATAAGATGACGTAATTGTTTTCATTTTTTGGTTTTTTTTACAGGTTCCAGACTCTGGCGTTGATGGCGAGTGGCAACTGAGGGTGGAAGTCCAAGAAGGAATTAGTGCCATCTTCAAGAAGGTCACTCCACTTAACTTCCAGGCCAAATTTTTAACCATTCTCATACAGCCGTCACGTCCCGTCTATAATGCCGGCCAGATAGGTTAGTTTTGAGCACTACCCCGTCAAGAAATCCTCTGTCTCTCGTACTCTTGAGAGGGAAATATCGTCCTCCTAGTGTGATAGAACCGATGCTAGAAACCATATCCAGTACTTGGAATTTGTTAGGAATATCATAAAGTCCAAATAAGTCCCCGTTAGAACCTCGATAGAACCTTTAAGGAACACTGATTCAGAAAATATCATTACAAAATTAGTAAGATATTTTTTTTCAATGTTTAATCTCTCTCTCTCTCTCTTTGTGCTTAAGTGTACACTCGCAACAAAAAGTATCGGTGCATACTGTAGTGTGAACAATTTGAGACCAGTGACGATAGGTATTGGGAAAGGCGAGTTGCTCCAGCCGTATGTTGGCAGCCCTGGTCAAGTGAAACAAACCGTTATAAATAAGGTCGGGAAGTGATAAATAGACAGTATGAAATATGAGGAGCTCCCTGTTAACAAAATTATTTGTGATACTTGTGAATATTGCCACATTAATTTATGCTACCAAATAAACCACTCAACCTGGTCGTCCTGAGGGGTGGTGCAGCGTAGACGGCCGCTCCGAGACCTGTCGTCTGTAGCACCAGTTTCGAGGTATCGCCGAATCACTTCCCGACCTTATTTATAACGGTTTGTTTCACTTGACCAGGCCATAGTGGCTGTTCAGCAGGATTACAGGGCTGACAACATACGGCTGGAACAACTCGCCTTTCCCAATACCTATCGTCACTGGTCTCAAATTGTTCACACTACAGTATGCACCGATACTTTTTGTTGCGGGTGTACGTGTGTGTGTAGGATCTCTAGTAAGGATCCTTCTCTCTCTCTCCTACAGTACGGTTCCGCGCCATCCTTCTCACTCGGGACCTCAAGCCTTACGACGATCCTGTGGATGTCTTCGCTCTGGTGAGTACGATAGATAGATAGATAGATGGATATAGATAGATGGATAGATAGATAGATAGATATAGATAGATAGATAGATGGATATAGATAGATGGATATAGATAGATGGATAGATAGATAGATATAGATAGATAGATAGATGGATATAGATAGATGGATAGATAGATAGATAGATAGATAGATAGATATTCCTTATATAGTCTTTAAATTGTTGGATTTTGTAAGTAGGAAAATATGTTTCTTTTCTTCAACGTTCCGGGGAAAATGTTGCAGTTGAATGAAAATTAAATGTGGCAATGTGTTGAAAATGTATAGATGTATTTTATTGAATGTTGAGGAGTAAATGTGTCTTATAGAGTGGAATGAATAAGAGAAAAAAATGTTGAATGTGTGTGTAATAATAATAATAATAATAATAATAATAATAATAATAATAATAATAATAATTAACGGTTTATTGAAAAAGTTCTGCAGCCCGAAGGCTGAAAATATACATTGGACATAAATGACTTATTACATACATTGGTGGTTTAACAAAAGCCTTCATTAGAGAAAGGTAAAGGAACATACAGATTAATGTAGGATTGTACGTGTTGAACAGCAAACACGTAGTGTAGTAACTACCTCCCAGATGGTGTTAGGAGGGACCTCACGTGATGTAGTGGTTCCCTCAGATGGTGTTATGAGGGGCCTGACGTGGTGTAGTAATTCCCTCGCAGATGGTGTTATGAGGGGGCCTCACGTGGTGTAGTAATTCCTTCACAGATGGTGTTACGAGGGTCCTCACGTGGTGTAGTAATTCCCTCACAGATGGTGTGATGAGGGACTTGACGTGGTGTAGTAATTCCCTCACATATGGTGTTATGAGGGACATGTGGTGTAGTAATTCCCTCACAGATGGTGTTATATGAGTGAGGTTTGGTCCCAGGCCTTCCTATCGTAGACGGATTAACACATCGCTGGTTATCACGGGCCGTTATCACTGGGTACCTGGGACCTCACTGTGTGAAGGTTAACTTGGGTACGACTGTTACTGTTGAGTTGTTCTCACTGACTTAAGCACTGTTCACCACTGTTCACCTCTGTTTAACACTGGTTCCATTCCTTTCTTAAATGAAATAGTAACTTCTGGCGAGAACTTGTTGATATTCCGGTGGGGAGGAGGGTTCAGCGGAAGGGGTTGGTATGGGCCAACTTAACAGTTGACCTGGTTGCTCCGAGAGGAGCGCCAGGTACGTCTTGACCCTTCGGTGGTCAAGGATGGTGTGTGTGTGTGTGTGTGTGTGTGTGTGTCAGGGAGATATAAACAGGTTCTTGCTGAAAATAGGAAGACGTCAAGGTGAAAATAGGAAGACGTCAAGGTGAAAATAGGAAGACGTCAAGGTGAAAATAGGAAGACGTCAAGGTGAAAATAGGAAGACGTCAAGGTGAAAATAGGAAGACGTCAAGGTGAAAATAGGAAGACGTCAAGGTGAAAATAGGAAGACGCCAAGGTGAAAAAGACGTCAAGGTGAAATAATTGGTTTATCTTCACTACTAAATATTCTCACAGGTAAGGTAAATATAATTAAGACAGGTAAGAGAGATACACAAGTGATGAAGTCAGTGGTACGAAGATGTGGGAGGTGAATTGACTGTTGTGTTGTGTTGTGTTGTGTTGTGTTGTGTTGTGTAGTGTTGTGTTGTGTTGTGTTGTATTATTATAATGTTAATCCCTATATATATCAGGGTTGTGTTTCCGTGTTCTTGGTTATGTAAATATGACGATGGTATTATGCTTGACTCCCACCTCCCACCTCCCACCTCCCACCTCCCACCACCTCCCACCCCACCTCCCCCCACCCCCCCACCCTTACACCTTCCCCAAAAAAAAATCGTAATTACACGTTTGTTTTTGTTAGTGGTAATTAATTAAACTTGTATAACATGGTTTAAGTTTTATTTGGCTTGATAAACTTATTGTGGTGGTTTGGTTGGTTTAAGCTGTCTTCTTATTCCAGCTTGATGTAGTTTTAGTTGGTTCAAGCCGCCTTCCTACTCCAGTTTGATGTAGTTTTTGTTGGTTCAAGCTGTCTTCCTAAACTAACTTGATATCGTGGTTAGTTGGTTCAAGCCTATTTCTTTCTCCAGCTTGATGCAGTTTTAGTTGGTTCAAGCTGCCTTCCAACACAAGCTTCATCATATCTCCTGCAGGCAGTGTTGGCCGGTGTCCAGGTTTACCGAGACGTTAATGTTGCAATAGGCTCATAAAAAACCTGTTAGCCAATATGTTGTTTTCCGAGGCGTCATGACTCTCCTTATTATAATTAAATAACACTCACGCTCAACACGTCACCAAAGTCTTAACCTAACCTAACCTAACCTAACTTTCACCTAAACTAAACTAACCTCACCTAACCTTCACCTAAACTAAACTAACCTCACCTAACCTTCACCTAAACTAATCTAACTTAACCTTCACCTAAGCTAAACTAACCTAACTTAACCTTCACCTAAACTAAACTAACTTAACTTAACCTTCACCTAAACTAAACTAACCTAACTTAACCTTCACCTAAGCTAAACTAACCTCACCTAACCTTCACCTAAACTAAACTAACCTAACTTAACCTTCACCTAAACTAAACTAACCTCACCTAACCTTCACCTAAACTAAACTAACCTAACTTAACCTTCACCTAAACTAACCTTACCTAACCCAACCCAAACTAAGCTAACCTAACCTAACTAAATTCTTGATAATATTTCTGTTTAATAGTTCCTGTATGTTGTTTTATTTTGCCATTCTCTTGTAATAAACTCGGTTGATACTTTATGGAAGAAGTTCGCGTCATGGTTCATCATTATCATCACCATCATCGCTATTATTGTCGAAAGTTCAAACACACGTGACTGCGCGTTTCCACTCCTATCCGGATTCATCCTTTTTGGTGAGTCAGCCTTCACGATGATGCCACGGAGGCGTTTGTGGAGTATCATATCATGAAGATTATTATTTTTTTTTTGTCCCTCTCTCTGCTTTACACAGGCTATCCTTCTTCTCCCCCTCTCACTCTCTCTCTCTCTCTCTCCCCCTCTCACACACTCTCTCTCTCTCTGTCATTATATCCTGTCCTTATATCCCGGCTATCCTATCCCCGCCTCTTCTCAGAATAGAGATAGATCTTTGGCATCCTTCTTCCACACCATCTGGTTTTGGCCGAGGATTATCACTGCGGTAATGTGCTGTTTACTAATTTGTTCTGGCTGATGTATTTGTCGGCTTATGTTCGCCACACACACACACACTTGCCAGCAACACCAACACGGCGCCACTGTGGGAAGGGGCACACCTAGACATTTGATGGAGAGGGGAGGGTTGGGGAGGAGGGTAGAGGAGGATGAGAGGGAGGGTGGGAGGGAGGGATGGGAGGAGGGGTTGGGGAGGGGAGGGGAGGGATGGTGGGTGAGAGACGACAACATAGTGACTCTACACCGTTACTTCTATTTACTTAAACATTTAACCCATAAACGCTGACAGGAGCCCCCTGACAGGAGCCCCCTGACAGGAGCCCCCTGACAGGAGTCCCCTGACAGGAGCCCCCTGACAGGAGTCCCCTGACAGGAGCCTCCTGACAGGAGCCCCCTGACAGGAGCCCCCTGACAGGAGCCCCCTGACAGGAGTCCCCTGACAGGAGCCTCCTGATAGGAGCCCCCTGACAGGAACTATATCGACATTGAAACAGTATATTTAACCAGAAAAATACAGATACAGAGTGGATAACAATAACATTGTTGACATGGCCGAGCCACTTGACAACCAGGGAGCCAGCGACAGGGAGCCAGCGACAGGACCCCTCTGGAAGAAACTCTTTACCTGGAACCCGCTGACAGCAGCAGCATCCCGTCTTGGCTCCCTTCCCAGCCTCCTCAAACCCTCTCAATGTGCGTGTGTGTGTGTGTGTGTGTGTGTGTGTGTGTGTGTGTGTGTGTGTGTGTGTGTGTGTGTGTGTGTTTAGTTGAGCGGGCAGGATAATTGTGGTTTACATCACCGCTCCTGGAAGCCACCAACCCAACGCTCTTCCCTTCCCTCCTCTCCCTACCTACCTCACTCCCTCCCTCCCTCCTTCATACTCACCTTCAAGAACAAATTCAAAGGATAAAATTAATACTTTTCCCACTAAGGTCAACAACAGGTGTAATAGTAATAGGACCTCCACGCCAAAACCCTCATGAAACGCAACACCATTTATTAGACACTCGAGTGAAAAACTATTCACTCCCCCCCCACTAAGCATCCGACATACCGGGGTGATTGATGACGTCACTACAGGGGGGGGAGACGGTAGGGATTGATGACGTCACTGGAAGGAAGGGGAAGAAGGTGGGTATTGATGACGTCACTGAAAGGGAGGGGGGAGCAAGTAGGGAAGGAAGGTTTCAAATCCCCTTATTTATTTATTTTTTTGTAAGCGAATTAACCATCTTTAATATTTTCAAACTCCACTTGTTAAAGATTATCATAATGTTAAAACGACCCTAAAAAAAGTTGTTAGTTTTGTTAATAAAAATAATAATAATCCAAACCTAATTATAACACATAGGAAGATTAACCACTTAACATGTAAATAAAACTCAGGAGGCGCCACCAGACACAACCCTCGACACACACACCTAATGACACAGTTGCCATCACAAGCTGAGATAAAAAAACCACTCTTGTGTCTATAGTCTGGGTACAAATCCTTAAACTTCATGGTTCTGGTAACACTGTGGCCGTGGTTTGATAAATGACTCAATGTTAGGTTTCTCTAGTTTCACCCCTCCCTCCCTACTAACCACCCCCCCTCCCTACAACCCCCTCCCTCTCCTACCACCCCCCTCCCTCTCCACCCCCTCCCCTCCCTACCTCCCCCCCCTCCCTACAATCCCCCTTTTGCCTGAGGCCCAAATAAACATGTTATCATCAGTGGTCTGGTAACACGTAACACGCTGTTCACGGTCTGTAACACGGTCTGGTAACACGGTCTGGTAACACGGTCTAGTAACACGGTAACTGGTAACAACTTGGTAGTCTTCTAACACGGTCTGGTAACACGGTCTAGTCTGGTAACACGGTCTAGTAACACGGTCTCACGGTCTGTAACACGGTCAACACGGTCTGGTAACACGGTCTAGTAACACGGTCTGGTAACACGTCTCACGGTCTGGTCTTGGGGTCTGGTAACACGGTCTGGTAACACGGTCTAGTAACACGGTCTGGTAACACGGTCTGGTAACACGGTCTGGTAACACGGTCTAGTAACACGGTCTGGTAACACGGTCTAGTAACACGGTCTGGTAACACGGTCTAGTAACACGGTCTAGTAACACGGTCTGGTAACACGGTCTGGTAACACGGTCTGGTAACACGGTCTGGTAACACTGTCTGGTAACACGGTCTGGTAACACCCATCGGTCCTCTCTCACTTCACCAGTGTTCTTTACCGGTGATATAGATGGTAATAATTATGTTAGACTACACGTGAAAGTCCAACCACCAGTGAAAAACAAGACCTAGTGCTGGGTGTTTACAGAGTTCCTTGATGTTGGTGTTTACAGAGTTCCTTGATGTTGGTGTTTACAGAGTTCCTTGATGTTGGTGTTTACAGAGTTCCTTGATGTTGGTGTTTACAGAGTTCCTTGATGTTGGTGTTTACAGAGTTCCTTGATGTTGGTGTTTACAGAGTTCCTTGATGTTGATGTTTACAAAGTTCCTTGATGGTAATGTTTACAAAGTTCCTTGATGTTGGTGTTTACAAAGTTTCTTGATGGTGATGTTTACAGAGTTCCTTGATGTTGATGTTTACAAAGTTCCTTGATGTTGATGTTTACAAAGTTCCTTGATGTTGATGTTTACAAAGTCCCTTGATGTTGATGTTTACAAAGTCCCTTGATGTTGATGTTTACAAAGTCCCTTGATGTTGATGTTTACAGAGTCCGTTAATATCTATGTTTACGGAGTCCGTTAAAAAAAAGTTACTTCTTCAGAATCTATGAATATCTCCAACCATTCTCGTCTGTTTATTAGTGTTGTCATCATGGTCCTGATGACTCACACTTTCGGGTGAGATAATTGCAAACAACAAATCATTACAGACGTTGGTGATGCCTTGCTTACTGGCGTAGTTAAGGTAGAGTCTCTTATTTAATTCTGGAGGGGATATCAGGTTTTGTTTTTTATGGTTTAGTCTGATTACACGGGTTAGATAAGTTCTCACATCTCCAATGACCTTCGGGTGTCCAAAAACTCTAATTTCTCCTACGTCATTAATGTCTTCTGGGGATGAGACATTGCCATCACGTCCACCATCGTATCTACCAAGTGCCAGAGGCGGTGTTGTGATGTGGTCCTGTCCCTAAATGGTGTTATTGGTACCTGTCACAGCTGCGTACCTGACAGGAATAATATTTTGGAGGACCCACGCATACAATAAGAACGACCTATATACAGCCTGACGAAGGAGTACCTGAGAAATTTCATGTTACGACACGATTGGATATCAATGTGGTGAGTGACAGGTGCCTCTAGTGTTGGTATGAGTTACAGTGATTAATAGATAGAGTGGGCAAAAAATGTGTCAGGAAAAACAGTGGGTTTTATAAGTGGTGGGTAGATGCGGGCCTCACTGTCAAATAAACAGGCCATCGACCACCACAGTTTGGACAGTAGAAGGTTACAGTCAACTAGCAAAACTCGGCAACACCTGAGTAGTTTTACTGATTCAGAAGCTAAGGGAGATTTGTGTTCTTGTAGGGAGGCAGCAGGTCCTCCTTCAGGGTGGGTTTAGGGAAGCTGAGGGACCTCCAAGGGCACGAGTTGTTATGGGAGGCGGAAGGGCGCTGGCTGGATGCTTAATACACAGGACACCGCATTTGGTGTATCATACTTCCGGTGGTACAGCCCCTTTACCCTCCCTCCCATACTCCCTTCACCCTCACTCCCTTACTCCCTTCACCCTCCCTCCCTCCCCTCCCTTACCTCCTTCACCTTCCCTCCCTTATTCCGTTCACCCTCCCTCCCTCCACCCTCCCTCCCCCCTCCCTTACCTCCTTCACCTCCCCTCCCTTACTCCTTCACCCTCCCTCCCTTACCTCCTTCACCTTTCCTCCCTTACTCCCTTCACCTCCCCTCCCTCCCCTTACCTCCTTCACCTTTCCTCCCTTACTCCCTTCACCATCACTCCCTTACTCCCTTCACCCTCCCTCCCTCCCCCTTACCTCCTTCACCTTTCCTCCTTACTCCCTTCACCATCCCTCCCTTACTCCTTCACCATCACTAAACACGATCTATGTATAACTATAAACCTGAGCACCCCCCCTCCCCTGTGGTCTCGACGCAGACACAGAGGCACCACCAATGTATCACATACCGGAACACTCCCCCCACCCCTTGGTCTCAATTACCCATAGCACCCCCTCCTCCCTCCCCTCCCCTCCCCCTCCCCTCCCCTCCCCTCCCTCCCTCCTCCCCCAGCGCGTGGTGCTACTGGGGAAAAACAGCGTGGGGCGGAGGTCAGCCAGGAACCTGTGAATAATGAGGGCAAGCCAAGGGGCACCAGCCTCACCGTCGTTACCGGGGACTTGACGGAACAGATGGCTGGTCCCCTGTTGTTCCTCTGCTAGCTCCTGTTGGCTCCCGGATGGCTCCTGTTGGGCTCCCTGCTGGACCCATTTTTGGCTTTCGTGCTTGTCTCATTGGTACCCTCCTGCTGCCTCCCTGCTGCCCCCCCTACCTGCTGGCCTCCTGGCTGCCTCCCTGCTGGCCCCCCTTCTGCTCTCCTGCTCAACCCTGAAACAAGAGTTACAGAACACTCCATCCCACTCATCCCACCCATCTCACACACACACACACACACACACACACACACACACAGTCAATCACTGGTGCATGAAGTGTCGTCCTAAAAACTTTGACAGCCACTTCCTGCCATTCACCAGTCATGATAACCCGGTGTGTGTGTGTGTGTGTGTGTGTGTGTGTGTGTGTGTTTTAATCATCCAGGTAGTGAGTCAGTCAAGTGATATTGATTATATGTCTTCTTTACTAACCTCTCTCTTCCTCCTTCAGGATTCTCGTGGCCGGAAGATGCGTCGTTGGCCCTCCTACCAGACCAGTCACGGTGAGTCTCTGCCACCGACCAGCCCACCTTCACCCCGCCCACCTTCACCCCACCCACCTTCACCCCACCCACCCTCGCTCCGCCCTGTCACATCACTTCCTTACACCTTGCCTTGCTCCTCACCTTGAAACTAATTCCTTTTCACACGCACACACACACACACACACACACACACACATACACACATACACACACACACACACACACACTATAACTTTATCTATAACTTATTGAATGTAAATAAATAAATTCATTAATATACGTATTTACCTGATACATTCCCCTTCCTATTATTATTATTATTATTATTATTATTATTACCACTATTATTACCACTATTATTATCTAACTCTTTAATAACGTAACGCGATATAAACCCAACCTCGTCTCAACACTATCATTAACACTCTAACGTATGATAACTGTGACGTGATGTGATTTTAATGACCCCTCTAGGTGATTTAGTGTTTCTCGTTATCCTCAGGGGTGATTAATCTGAGTTTCCAGTTGCCGGATTATCCTCTGGTGGGACGGTGGACGATCAGGGTTAGAGCCAAGAGCCAGGTGGAGGACAAGATCATCCAGGTAGAACATTACTTCAGGCCCAGATTCGAGGTACTAATTTTTTTTTGTTCTTTGTTCTTTGTTATTGTTCCTCTGAGTTGTATAATAATTCCTCGTTCTTTGTTTTTTCTATAGCCTATAATCCTAGTCTGTGTGTGTTGTATGGTCTATAATCCTAGTCTGTGTGTGTTGTATGGTCTATAATCCTAGTCTGTGTGTGTGTTGTATGGTCTATAGTCCTAGTCTGTGTGTGTTCTATGGTCTATAATCCTAGTCTGTGTCTGTTGTATGGTCTATAATCCTAGTCTGTGTGTGTGTTGTATGGTCTATAATCCTAGTCTGTGTGTGTTGTATGGTCTATAATCCTAGTCTGTGTGTTATGGTCTATAATCCTAGTCTGTGTGTGTTGTATGGTCTATAATCCTAGTCTGTGTGTGTGTTCTATGGTCTATAATCCTAGTCTGTGTGTGTGTTCTATGGTCTTTATAATCCCCTGTGTGTTCTATGGTCTATAATCCTAGTCTGTGTGTGTGTTCTATGGTCTATAATCCTAGTCTGTATTGTGTGTTATGGTCTATAATCCTAGTCTGTGTGTGTATGGTCTGGTCTATAATCCTAGTCTGTGTGTGTGTTCCTATGGTCTATAATCCTAGTCTGTGTGTGTTGTATGGTCTATAATCCTAGTCTGTGTGTGTGTTGTATGGTCTGTAATCCCCTAGTCTGTGTGTGTGTTCTATGGTCTATAATCCTAGTCTGTGTGTGTTGTATGGTCTATAATCCTAGTCTGTGTGTGTGTTGTGGTCTATAATCCTAGTCTGTATTGTATTTGTATGGTCTATAATCCTAGTCTGTGTGTGTGTTCTATGGTCTATAATCCTAGTCTGTGTGTGTGTCTATAATCCTGGTCTGTATGGTCTGTAATCCTGGTCTGGGTGTATGTGTTGTATGGTCTATAATCCTGGTCTGTGTGTGTTGTATGGTCTATAATCCTAGTCTGTGTGTGTATTTGTATGGTCTATAATCCTAGTCTGTGTGTGTTGTATGGTCTATAATCCTGTGTGTGTGTGTGTGGTCTATAATCCTATGGTCTATAATCCTAGTCTGTGTGTGTGTTGTGGTCTATAATCCTGAATGTCTAATCCTAGTTGTGTGTGTTGTATGGTCTATAATCCTGGTCTGTGTGTGTTGTATGTCCTATAATCCTGGTCTGTGTGTGTGTTGTATGGTCTATAATCCTAGTCTGTGTGTGTTGTATGGTCTATAATCCTAGTCTGTGTGTGTGTTCTATAATCTAGTCTGTGTATGTTGTATGGTCTATAATCCTAGTCTGTGTGTGTTGTATGGTCTATAATCCTGGTCTGTGTGTGTCTGTGTGTGTTGGTCTATAATCTATAATCCTGGTCTGTGTGTGTGTTGTATGGTCTATAATCCTATGGTCTATAATCCTAGTCTGTGTGTGTGTTGTATGGTCTATAATCCTAGTCTGTGTGTGTTGTATGGTCTATAATCCTGTATGTGTTGTATGGTCTATAATCCTGTCTGTGTGTGTGTTGTATGGTCTGTAATCCCTAGTCTGGGTGTGTGTTGTATGGTCTATAATCCCCTAGTCTGGGTGTGTATTTGTATAGTCTATAATCCTAGTCTGTGTGTGTGTTGTATGGTCTATAATCCTAGTCTGTGTGTGTTGTATGGTCTATATTCCCTGGGTCTGTGTGTGTTGTATGGTCTATAATCCTGGTCTGTGGTATTTGTATGGTCTATAGTCCTGTGTCTATAATCTGTGTGTGTGTTGTATGGTCTATAATCCTAGTCTGTGTGTGTATGTATGGTCTATAATCCTAGTCTGTGTATTATTGTCTGTGTGTGTGTGTTCTATAATCCTAGTCTGTGTGTGTGTTGTATGGTCTATAATCCTAGTCTGTGTGTGGTATTTGTATGGTCTATAATCCTAGTCTGTGTGTGTGTGTTATTATGGTCTATAATCCTAGTCTGTGTGTGTGTTGTATGGTCTATAATCCTAGTCTGTGTGTGTGTATGGTCTATAATCCTAGTCTGTGTGTGTTGTATGGTCTAATCCTAGTCTGTGTGTGTATGGTCTATAATCCTGGTCTGTGTGTGTTTGTATGGTCTATAATCTGGTCTGTGTGTGTTGTATGGTCTGTGTGTGTTGTGGTCTATAATCCTAGTCTGTGTGTGTGTTGTATGCTGTGTGTGTGTTGTATAGTCTATAATCCTAGTCTGTGTGTGTGTTGTATGGTCTATAATCCTAGTCTGTGTGTGTATTTGTATGGTCCTATAATCCTAGTCTGTATTGTGTTGTATAGCCTATAATCCTAGTCTGTGTGTGTGTTGTATGGTCTATAATCCTAGTCTGTGTGTGTTGTATGGTCTATAATCCTAGTCTGTGTGTGTGTATGGTCTATAATCCTAGGTCTATATGGTCTATCCTGGTGTGTGTTGTATGGTCTGTAATCCTAGTCTATGAATCCTAGTCTGTGTGTGTTGTATGGTCTATAATCCTGGTCTGTGTGTTGTATGGTCTATAATCCTAGTCTGTGTGTTGTATAGTTGTGGTCTATAATCCTAGTCTGTGTGTGTTGTATAGTCTATAATCCTCGTCTGTGTGTGTTCTATAGCCTATAATCCTAGTCTGTGTGTTGGTCTATAATCCTAGTCTGGGTGTGTTGTATGGTCTATAATCCTCGTCTGTGTGTGTTCTATAGCCTATAATCCTAGTCTGTGTGTGTGTATGGTCATAATGCTAGTCTGGGTGTGTTGTATGGTCTGTAATCCCTAGTCTGTGTGTGTGTTGTATGGTCTATAATGCTGTGTCTGGGTGTGTTGTATGGTCTATAATCCTCGTCTGTGTGTGTTCTATAGCCTATAATCCTAGTCTGGGGTGTGTTGTATGTGTGTGTTGTATGGTCTGTGTCTATAATCCTCTCGTCTGTGTGTGTTCTATAGTCTAGTCTGTGTGTTGTATAGCCTATAATCCTAGTCTGTGTGTGTTCTATGGTCTATAATCCTAGTCTGGGTGTGTTGTATGGTCTATAATCCTCGTCTGTCTATAGCCTATAATCCTAGTCTGTGTGTGTTGTATGGTCTATAATGCTAGTCTGGGTGTGTTGTATGGTCTATAATCCTAGTCTGTGTGTGTTGTATGGTCTATAATCCTAGTCTGGGTGTGTTGTATGGTCTATAATCCTCGTCTGTGTGTGTTCTATAGCCTATAATCCTAGTCTGTGTGTGTTGTATGGTCTATAATGCTAGTCTGGGTGTGTTGTATGGTCTATAATCCTAGTCTGTGTGTGTTGTATGGTCTATAATGCTAGTCTGTGTGTGTTGTATGGTCTATAATCCTCGTCTGTGTGTGTGTTGTATGGTCTATAGTCCTAGTCTGGGTGTGTTGTATGGTCTATAATCCTCGTCTGTGTGTGTTCTATAGCCTATAATCCTAGTCTGTGTGTGTTCTATGGTCTATAATCCTAGTCTGGGTGTGTTGTATGGTCTATAATCCTAGTCTGGGTGTGTCCTATAGCCTATAATCCTAATCTGTGTATTTAACAATCTTATAATAATCCTTCAGGCTACAGTGTTTCTTTTATCCTTCCATAGCTCTTAGATGTGTGTTAAATCCTTGATGTATTACTGATGTGTGTGTGTGTGTGTGTGTGTGTGTGTGTGTGTGTGTGTGTGTGTGTGTGTGTGTGTGATGGTAGGTTTCTTCACCAGCCTTACGGTCTCTGCATCTGTTAATGTTGTAGATCCTGACTTGACGTTCTGCGCCGGTGCTATATGTTTCGTCAGGCGGTTCTTGAGATGACAATGTTCTTTCTTTCTTTCTTTCTTTCTTTCTTTCTTTCTGTCTTTCTTTTAGCTTTGCAGTCCATAGATCCTCCTTTCTTTCACTTCTATAACTAGTCTCTATAGATCATTTTATTTATAAATCTTGTATTATAACATTGAATTTCTGGGTTCCTTCAAGGTGGCGTTCTTATGGTGTGTTCTTGCTACCTACAGTGTTTTTCCTCAACCTACACACTCACTAGATCAGTTAATGAATTCTTAACTACCTTATTCCTGACCTTCACTTGGCCGTTCTCCAGGTGTTCGTTCGACTCCCGCTGACGGTGCAGACGTCGGCGGAGTACGTGGAGGGCGTGGTGGTGGCCAACATGACCAACTGGAGGTACGTGCAGGGCAACTGTACCCTCAAGCTGCAGTTTGCCAGACACGACGATGACCAACCCATCCCCGAGCACTTTACGGACGCCCATGTGGAGTTCGTCCGTGTGGTGAGTTGACGTTGAAGGAGGGAGTGAGAGAAGGAGGGAAGCAAGGAGGGAGGGAGGGGGAGGTAGGGTAGGAGGGAGGTAGAGGGAGGTCGGAGGGTATAGTTACATATAGAGCTTAGCAAGGAGACAGAAAGGGTGACATATACATACATACATACATACATACATACATACATACATACATACATACATAGAATAAAATATATATATAGGGAGACGTCGGATATGGAGGATGCAGGCCTAACTAATGCAACGTTTAGGAAGTTACTAACTGCCGTAAAGCTTGATGGCTGTTGCTGGTATTGCCCTGGCTGCATAGTCAAGGTGAATGAAGCGATTGCAATCCATAAGGGAACGAGTTCTCTAGGGACGAAAATAGATGAAGCTGGTTGACAAACTGGAGCAAGTTGAGAAAGAGATCCTTGCTAAGACTGAGGAAGTAGCTGATAGAATGGAGGTGGTTGCTAAGAGGAGTTATGCTGACGTATTAGGAGGGCCACGGGGGGGGGACGGAGAGTAATGCAGAATCAGTACAGGTTCTACAGCAGATTGGGACTCTGAAAAAGTGTGTCGAAGAAATGAAAATTAACGCACCGACTGTTAGGGGAGAGGAGGAACACCAGGAACGGCTCCAGCGCAGGAACAATGTAATAGTTTTTGGAGTCCCAGAGAGCCAGGCAGAGGGAACTGTGAGTAAGGAAACACACGACAAGGTGCTGTTTCAAAATATTTGCACAGAGGTTCTGAAGATTCCAGCAACCCCTCAGGATGTGAGGAGACTGGGACAAAAGCAGGGGGCTAAGCCTCGCCCCCTCAGGATCACACTAGGGAGTGAGGAGGAGAAATGGCAAGTTATCCGGCAGGCAAAAAACTTAGCAAGGAGCGAGGCATTTCGGGATGTATTTATTCACCCAGACCGCACGGTAATGCAGAGGGAACAGCACAAGAAGCTCCTGCTGGACTTGAAGCAGAAGAGGGAGGAGTCGAGGAGGAACGGGGACAGGTGCACATGGGTTATACTCAGGGGGAGGGTAGTGGAAACAAGTGTGCCGACACAGGGCCAGGGGGCAGCAGTGCACCCTCCACCCACTCAACCCCCCACCCGGGAGGCGGCACCAGCTCAGCCTACCGGACAGGAGGGAACGAGCGCCGTGTAAACAATGACATTTTTAACCACACCCTGCAAAATACAGTGTACTTAGCAAATGCTGCAGCTTCTGAGAATGTGGGGGGAGCGGGTTTATTACTAAGAGCAGAGACGTTACCGAGAACAAATTCTGGCTTGAATGTCATGTACACTAATACCGACACGTTCCTTGATAAGAGGGAGGAGTTTGAAACACTACTAAAAGTACACCAACCAGATATTGTAGGAGTTGTAGAACTGTTGTACAAGAACAGGAGAATCGACCCAGAGGAATGTGAGTTCAGTATTGCTGGATATGACTCATTTACGAACCTAACTCAAGAATCCTGCAGGAGGGGTGTGGTTATCTACGCTAGGCAAGACCTTAGAGCCAGCCAGGCGAGGGTACAGGGAGAGGATGTTTTTGAAGAGTCCAAGTGGTGTAAAATTAAATTAAAGGGAGGGGACTTACTTATCGTCGGGTGTATCTACAGATCCCCGAACTGTGGCCCACTAAATCAAAGGAACTTAAGAACCTTAATAAACAATGCGGCGATGCTCAACCCCAGCCACCTCCTTATCATGGGGGACTTTAACTATGGCGACATCGACTGGAGAAACGAGTCAACCCCGAATGACTTGAATAATCCTGCTACTCTTTTTGTAGAAACTCTGAGAGATAATTTTCTGTTCCAACATGTGAGAGACCCGACACATTACAGAGGGGAACAAACACCCAAGCCACTTGACCTCATCATAACAAACGAGGAGGGTATGGTGGCCAAACTGGAACACCTTGCCCCAGTTGGCACCAGTCACCATACAGTGTTGTCATTCAGATTTAACTGTTACCTAGTTCAAGATAAGGCCAGGCCAAGGTGCAAATATTACAAGGGAAATTACAATGGGATGAGGGAAGAGATGAGGGGTATCAACTGGCCTGACTTATTAAGGTACAAGAACGCAGACACTACGCTGAATATCATAACTAGTAAAATGACCCATTTGATCGATAAATATATACCCAAGACCAAACCCAGTGCTTCTAGGAATACGAGGGGATCCCTACACATGAACCATGCGGCGGTCGACAAAATTAAGAAGAAAACCCAGAAATTCAAGACGTGGGTTGGGTCAAACGATGAGCAAGACAGGAGGATGTATGCAAGAGCCAGAAACCAAGCAAAGATAGAGTGTAGGAGGGCTGAAAAGGAGTTCCAAAGGCTGGTTGCACGCGAGGTCAAGTCAAACCCAAAGGCGTTTTACCGCTATGCAAAGTCGAAATTGAAAACGCGAGTAGGAGTATCAGACCTGAGGCTTGAAGATGGTAGTTACGCAGATTCTGACCAGGATAAAGCTGAGGCATTGAACAGCTTCTTTTCCTCAGTGTTCACAAGAGAGGATGCAACTAACCTTCCTGCGTTTGAGGACAGACGGTTCGACACAGCACTGACCCACATTGTGTTCACAGAAGAGGGTATTAGAAATAAACTGTCCAGGCTAAAGGTCCATAAGAGTCCTGGACCTGACATGGTGCATCCTAGAGTGCTAAGGGAGCTGTGCAACGAGCTTGCAGAGCCCCTGAAGATTCTGTTTTGTAAATGCCTGGATGAACAAATGGTCCCCAGTGAATGGAAAGTGGCTTATGTGAGTCCTATCTTCAAGAAGGGCGATAGGCACTCCACGAACAACTATAGACCGGTGAGCCTGACCAGCATAATATGTAAAGTACTTGAGAGTATTATCAGAGATGCAGCGATGGAACATCTACTACGAAACAACCTTGTAAAAGATTGCCAACACGGTTTTATGCCGGGGCGCTCTTGCTTGACACAATTGCTCAAGGTATTGGATATTTGGACCCATATTCTAGAACGGGGTGGTAATATCGACAATATTTACCTAGATTTTGCCAAGGCTTTCGACAGTGTACCCCACGAAAGGCTGAAAATCAAACTGGAAGGGTACGGAATTCGGGGAAATGTCCTAGCGTGGATAGAAGACTTTCTACATGACCGCAAGCAATGTGTGGTGATTAATGGCACGAAATCGTCATCTGTACCTGTAACAAGTGGGGTACCGCAGGGTAGTGTATTGGGCCCGCTGTTGTTTGTTTGTTTCATAAATGATATGCCTGACGTTGTACACTCCTCCATACAAATGTTTGCCGATGACGCCAAGTTATTTCGGGAAATTAAGAACCAAGCGGACTGTGAAGAGCTGCAGAAGGACCTCTGTGGGCTCCAGGAATGGTCGAAGGAATGGCTGCTGAGATTCAATGTCACGAAGTGTAAGAGGATGCACCTGGGGCGTACCAACGGTAAGGAGGCGTACCATATGTCCCAACGGGATGAAGAAAATGTACTAGTTGAGACTGTGTGTGAGAAGGACCTAGGTGTGTATGTTGACAATGAGCTGAAGTTCTCGGGCCATTGTGAGAAGAAGGTAAATCAGGCAAATAAATTATTGGGTCTTATAAGAAGGTCGTTCAGATATCTAGACGGTCCGTCCCTCGTGACGATCTTCAGGAGTGAAGTGCTTCCCCATCTGGAGTACTGTCACCCCATCTGGTCCCCGAGATATGCTAGGGACTGTCAGTTGGTTGAAAATGTTCAAAGGAGGGCCACCAAACTGGTGCCTGCACTTCGGCATCTCAGCTACCCTGAGAGATTGGATCGCATGAACTTGCCTAGCTTATACTACAGACGGGCAAGGGGGGACCTAGTTGAGGTGTATAAGCATCTCAAGGGGCACTACTCAGTTGAGTGTCCTTACTTGGAGCTGGCGGACGCTCGCCCCACAAGGGGTCACAGCTCAAGATTGAAGAAGCCGCAAGTCCAGAAAACCGTGAGGGCAAACTTTTTCGGAGTGAGGGTTGTAAACTCTTGGAACAATCTACCAGAGAGTGTTGTGACGGCACCAAGTGTGAGCTCTTTCAAGAGAAGACTTGACCAACACTGGAGCGGGTTCAGGTACATTCAGGAGCCGGTGCATGCCCAGTATTTGCCAACAGTGCGTGACAGAGACGTGACCGATCGCCCAAGCGGCTAACAAGCCGATCAGTGGCGAAGAGGATAAAAGTAAAGAAGTATATATTGTTTAAGTTAAGTGTGTACAAGAGTTGATAATGGCTGTGTTTTCTTAGTATTTATTTTTTTAAGTTTTATTTAAATTTAACTTAAGAGATAATATTTTTGTTTTTGTTTGCATGTTTACTGTGTTTATCTTCTGGAGCTTTTTGATAATTTTATGTAGTAATTTTTCTTTGTTTTTCTGTCTGTGTCTGTCTGTCTTTCTGTCTGTTTAGCTCTTTTTTTCCAAATAATCTCTCTCTCTCTCTCTCTCTCTCTCTCTCCTCACCATCAAGATCTAAATCATCCCATATTCCAATACACATTTCTACTCACCACCACCACTAACCAGCCCTCACCACCACCACCACCACCACTACCACCACCACTAATCCAGCCCTCACCACCACCACCACTCGGTTTCACACCACCACCACTCAACCAGCCTCACCTCACCACCACTGCTCACTACCACCACCACTAACCAGCCCTCACCACCTCACCACACCAATGCCACCACCACCACCAACCAGCCTCACCACCACCTCACCAACCAGCCTCACCACCACCACCACCAGCCCCCACCACCACCACTAACCAGCCTCACCACCACCACCACCAGCTCACCATCACCACTAACTGTGCCTCACCACCACCACTAAATCCAGCCCTCACCACCACCACTAACCAGCCTCACCACCACTAACAACCATCCTCACCACCACCACTAACCATCCCTCACCACCACCACTAACCAGCTCCTCACCACCGCTACCACCACTAACCAGCCCTCACCACCACCACTAACCAGCCCTCACCACCACCACCACCACTAACCAGCCCTCTCCATCTTTCAGTTCAAAGGTTCCCACGCCTTCAAGCTGCCCCTGTCGACGGTCCGTTATATGCTTGGTGCTGGGACTAATGACGAGAACCTGAAAGGCGTGAGCGTGCGCGTGTGGGCTACAGTGGGCGACACCTTCAGGTGGTGGGTGCAGGAGGGGTGGGCCATCGCCAGGCTGGTGAAGGAGGAGGCGAAGGTCACATTCTTGGGCGACCAGCCTCTTATCTTCAGGCCAGGCATGCCTATTACCATCCACGTGAGTACTGGTGCCTGGCCATGTGACACCTGTGGTGCCTGGCCATGTGGGTACTGGTGCCTGGCCATGTGACACCTGTGGTACCTGGCCATGTGACACCTGTGGTACCTCGCCATGTGACACCTGTGGTACCTGGCCATGTGACACCTGTGGTACCTGGCCATGTGACACCTGTGGTACCTGCCCATGTGACACCTATAGTGATAGACAAGGATAGTGACCATAGTGGTAACATACATCTTCACCTGTGACGAGTTACCTGAGAGTAGGAGGGAGAGAGAGAGTGGGAGGAAGGAAGGGTGGGAGGGAGAGATAAGAAAAGTGGGAAAGCGGGAGTAAGAGTAGAGCCAAAGGTGTGGTGGGAAAGTGAGAGGGAAAGGGAGTGGGATGCAGGGAGAGTGAAAGAAAATGAGTATAAGGGAGGGATAGTGAGACAAAGATGGAGGAAGGAAGGGGGAAAAGGAAGAAGAGAAGGGCGGGAGGAGAAGGTATATTCCAGGCTATGCAGGGAGAGAGAGAGAGAGAGAGAGAGAGAGAGAGAGAGAGAGAGAGAGAGAGGACTATCTCTACTGTGTATGGTGGTGAAAATTGGTCAACAATGTGACCAGCAAAAAGGTTTATCTTTTGCAGTATACCTCTGACGACCCTGTGTGTGTGTGTGTGTCACGTGTCTGTCTATGTTAATTACTGACTTACCTGAGCTTATTACTGACATACCTGTATTAATGACTGACTTACCTGTATTAATGACTGACTTACCTGTGTTGATTACTGTCTTACCTGTGTTGATTACTGTCTTATTTGTATTAATGACTGACTTACCTGTGTTGATTACTGACTTACCTGTGTTGATTACTGACTTACCTGTGTTGATTACTGACTTACCTGTGTTGATTACTGACTTACCTGTATTAATGACTGACTTACCTGTGTTGATTACTGACTTACCTGTGTTGATTACTGACTTACCTGTGTTGATTACTGACTTACCTGTGTTGATTACTGTCTTACCTGTGTTGATTACTGACATACCTGTATTAATGACTGACTTACCTGTGTTGATTACTGTCTTACCTGTGTCTCTGGTCCAGGTCCTCACGTCATACCAGGACGACCATCCGCTGGGGGAGGAGGAACTTCAGAATGCTCGACTCAGTGTGGTCATGACAGCCTCTGGACAGAGCACAAAGGTGGGTGTCCTTCTGTATGAGAGAGAGAGAGAGAGAGAGAGAGAGAGAGAGAGAGAGAGAGAGAGAGAGAGAGAGAGAGAGAGAGAGAGAGAGAGATTTACCATCACCATCTAGATACATACACCACCTGTACTGGCCACTCTCACCACCTGGGAATTCGTCTCTTACAGGTGGATCAGGTGGACGTGAGCGGGTGGAAGTTGCAGGAGGCGGCGGGTGTGGCGGAGATCTCCTTCGACCTTCCTGAGGGAGCAATGAGCCTCAGGGTAGACGCCAGGTAAAGTTCCTCCTCATTAGTCACCTGGATACCATAACTCACCTCAGAGACGGATGATTTATTCGGAAATATAAAATGTATTTAGATCACGTGAGGATTAGGTTCTCCCGGTACCACAGTTTTGTAATTTAAGTCTGTCCCGGTACCACAGTTCTGTAGTCTAACTCTCTCCCGGTACCACAGTTCTGTAGTCTAACTCTCTCCCGGTACCACAGTTCTGTAGTCTAACTCTCTCCCGGTACCACAGTTCTGTAGTCTAACTCTCTCCCGGTACCACAGTTCTGTAGTCTAACTCTCTCCGTACCACAGTTCTGTAGTCTAACTACCACAGTTCTCCCGGTACCACAGTTCTGTAGTGTACTCTCCAGTTCTGTAGTCTAACTCTCCCGGTACCACAGTTCTGTAGTCTAACTCTCTCCCGGCACCACAGTTCTGTAGTCTTAACTCTCTCCCAGTACCACAGTTCTGTAGTCTAACTCTCTCCCGGTACCACTGTAGTCTAACTGTAGTTCTGTAATCCCTCCCGGTACCACAGTTCTGTAGTCTAACTCTCTCCCAGTACCACAGTTCTGTAGTCTTAACTCTCTCCCAGTACCACAGTTCTGTAGTCTTAACTCTCTCCCAGTACCACAGTTCTGTAGTCTTAACTCTCTCCCAGTACCACAGTTCTGTAGTCTAACTCTCTCCCAGTACCACAGTTCTGTAGTCTAACTCTCTCCCGGTACCACAGTTCTGTAGTCTAACTCTCTCTCGGTACCACAGCCTGACCACCAGTAGCGGGCTGACAGCGGGCGCCAGACTGCTGGGGGTGGTACAACACTCACCCAGGGACCGACACCTTCAGATAGAGACATCCACCCCTGACGCCAGCCCAGGGGAGTTCATCACTTTACACGTCAGGAACAACTTTTACATGGAGCACTTTAATTATGTGGTGAGTCTTGTCTTGTGTGGTGAGTCTTGTGGTGAGTCTTGCCTTGTGTGGTGAGTCTTGTGGTGAGTCTTGTGTTGTGTGGTGAGTCTTGTGGTGTGTGGTGAGTCTTGTGGTGTGTGGTGAGTCTTGTGTTGTGTGGTGAGTCTTGTGGTGTGTGGTGAGTCTTGTGTTGTGTGGTGAGTCTTGTGGTGTGTGGTGAGTCTTAGGTGTGTGGTGAGTCTTGTGGTGTGTGTGGTGAGTCTTGTGTTGTGTGGTGAGTCTTGTGGTGTGTGTGAGTCTTGTGTTGTGTGGTGAGTCTTGTGGTGAGTCTTGTGTTGTGTCATGAGTCTTGTGTTGTGTGGTGAGTCTTGTGTTGTGTGGTGAGTCTTGTGTTGTGTGTGAGTCTAGTGGTGTGTGGTGAGTCTTGTGGTGTGTGGTGAGTCTTGTGTTGAGTCTTGGTTGTGTCATGAGTCTTGTATTGTGTGTGGTGAGTCTTGTGTTGTGTGGTGAGTCTTGTGTTGAGTGGTGAGTCTTGTGTTGAGTCTTGTGTTGTGTCATGAGTCTTGTATTGTGTGGTGAGTCTTGTGTTGTGTGGTGAGTCTTGTGGTGTGTGTGGTGAGTCTTGTGTTGTGTGAGTCTTGTGTTGAGTCTTGTGTTGTGTCATGAGTCTTGTATTGTGGTGAGTCTTGTGTTGTGTGGTGAGTCTTGTGGTGTGTGTGTGAGTCTTGTATTGTGTGGTGAGTCTTGTGTTGTGTGGTGAGTCTTGTGTTGTGTGGTGAGTCTTGTGGGTGAGTCTTGTATTGTGTGGTGAGTCTTGTGTTGTGTGGTGAGTCTTGTGTTGTGTGGTGAGTCTTGTGTTGAGTCTTGTGTTGTGTCATGAGTCTTGTGTTGTGTGGTGAGTCTTGTGGTGAGTCTTGTGTTGTGTGGTGAGTCTTGTGATGTGTGTGAGTCTTGTGTAGTGTGGTGAGTCTTGTGTTGTGTGGTGAGTCTTGTGTTGAGTCTTGTGTTGTGTGGTGAGTCTTGTGGTGAGTCTTGTGTTGTGTGGTGAGTCTTGTGTTGTGTGGTGAGTCTTGTGTTGTGTGGTGAGGTGAGTCTTGTGTTGTGTGGTGAGTCTTGTGGTGAGTCTTGTGTTGTGTGGTGAGTCTTGTGTTGTGTGGTGAGTCTTGTGCTGTGTGGTGAGTCTTGTGTTGTGTGGTGAGTCTTGTGGTGAGTCTTGTGGTCTGTTGGTGGTTAAGTATGTGTGTCTATTGTATTGTGTTGGGGGTTAAATGTGTTGTGTTGTATTGTATTATCCCAGGGGTCACAATTACTCCTCTCAGATGTCATATAAAACCAGATGTTTATAATCCCTCCTCCTCCTCCCCCTTTACAGGTGTTGTCACAGGGTGTGGTGATCTATAACGGGAGGGAACCTATACTTGACCACTCCATCCCCACCGTCACTACCTTCTCCCTCCCTGCCTCGACCGATATGTCCCCGGCGGCCAACATCCTAGTCTGGGTGGTGACTCAGGACGGTCAGCTCGTCTCTCACGCCTTGCTGGTGCCCGTCGACCCTCTGGGACGACACAAGGTAAGGAGACGACGGGGATAGACGGAGAGATGGTAGATGGGAAAGATACGAGTTCTGTTCTGTAGATGGTAGAGATACGAGTTCTGTTCTGTAGATGGGAGAGATACGAGTTCTGTTCTGTAGATGGGAGAGATACGAGTTCTGTTCTGTAGATGGGAGAGATACGAGTTCTGTTCTGTAGATGGGAGAGATACGAGTTCTGTTCTTGTGATGGGAGAGATACGAGTTCTGTTCTGTAGATGGGAGAGAAACGAGTTCTGTTCTGTAGATGGGAGAGATACGAGTTCTGTTCTGTAGATGGTAAATGGGAGAGATACGAGTTCTGTTCTGTAGATGGGAGAGATACGAGTTCTGTTCTGTAGATGGGAGAGATACGAGTTCTGTTCTGTAGATGGTAGAGATACGAGTTCTGTTCTGTAGATGGGAGAGATACGAGTTCTGTTCTGTAGATGGTAGAGATACGAGTTCTGTTCTGTAGATGGGAGAGATACGAGTTCTGTTCTGTAGATGGTAGAGATACGAGTTCTGTTCTGTAGATGGTAGAGATACGAGTTCTGTTCTGTAGATGGGAGAGATACGAGTTCTGTTCTGTAGATGGTAGATGGGATTGCATAAGAGGTGAATAGTAGATATGATTAGACAAGACGAGAGGTAGATTAATTACCAGTGTGGAATAAGAAGATAAAGTAAAAAAAAGTTGATAGTAGATGTGGAACAGATAGACAGAAGAAATGGAATAAATAGACTTAATAGACGGTAAAAGGTATATAGCTGTCAGATGAGCCAAACAGGTAAATAAACACGCCTCCCTCTCCTCTTAATTAACAGGTAGGCATCAGGTGGAACGAACACAAGGACCACTCTGGCGGGTCAGTAGAGATGAAGATGTTGGGGGAGACGGGCGCGTTCTTCGCCGTCTCGTCTGTGTGGGAGGAGACGCACCACATGGACACCGGCCACGAGTTAGACGCCTCCCGGGTCCTCCACCACATGCTGCAGCTGGAGACGAACGACACCGTGTACGCCAGGCGGAGCAATGTCACTGTGCCTCACATCCGTCGGGCGGCTACTAGGTGAGTCCTCCTTCTCTCCTTTCTCCTCTCTCCTGTTTGTTTGTCCTTCCTTGTTATTCTCCCCGTTTCTTCTTTTTCTTCTTCTTTATTGTCTGCAGTTTCTTATAATTGTCTTCGTTCTTTTGTTTCTTAACTCGTCATCTGTCACGGTGTTGTTGTTGTCCAGGTCACGTGACGGGGCCGGAGCCAAGGTGTCGCTCTACCCTACAGCCATGGCTGGACCAGACGCCCCCTCCACTTTCAACTTCAGTGACCTCCTCGTGCTGACCGATGCTGACCTCTTCTACCATCCTCACCACGCGTCAGGTGAGGCTCCCTCCCTCCCTCCCTCCCTACTCTCTTACCTGGACTCTTGATAATGATAACGACATTAATATTAATGTAGTTACTGTTATCAACATTATATATCTCCTTATTTTGTCTTCACTGCGTCATATGTACATTCACACATTCAATGCTTTCTTTTATGTCGACAGACTCACCTGACTGTGCTACCTGGCAATTCAAGTGTCTGACTGGCAGCTGCTACAATCACGAAGAACGTTGTGACGGACTCTACCAGTGCCCTGACCACTCTGACGAGGCAGGATGTAAGTTACGGTGCCACCAAGTGTTGTGTTTACCTTCACTCATGCTATCAACTGTCTTTTGTTTTAACACTTGGTACTTATAATATCGACTGTCTTTTATTTTGCTGTAAGATACATATGCTATTAATACCTACGTCACTTATATACTGGTTCTCCCATAATCATTATGCCCCTCCGTAGTTCACTTAATGCTAATGACATGGTATTAGTGATGAACAGAATTACTATTAGGGCATATTAAAGGTTGGAGCCAACTTGACCTACTGTACCTCTCCTCCCTTCGTCTGTAGGTCCCGTGAATGTCGACCCTCTCCGGGAGTTCCGCATCAAGCGCCTGAGTCGTCTCCACCGCTTCTACGACCCAGACCACGGTGACTGGGCGTGGCTGGATATCAGAGGCGTAGGTACCGAGATCCAGGTGTTCCCTATCCCGAAGAGGCCGCAGACGTGGGTCGTGTCCATGTTCGCTGTCGGTAAGAAGATGGGACTCGGCCTACTGCAGGAGAAGATACAGGTGAGTGAGAGGAGGGAAAAGGTGTGGGTGAGGAGAGGGACAGGTGTAGGTGGGGGGAAGAACAGGTGTGAGTGAGGAGAGGGACAGGTGTAGGTTGGGGGGAAGAACAGGTGTGAGTGAGGAGAGGGAGAGGGATAGGTGTAGGTGGGGGGAAGGATAGGTGTGAGTGAGGAGAAGGACAGGTGTAGTTGGTGGGAAGAACAGGTGTGAGTGAGGAGAGGGAGAGGGATAGGTGTAGGTGGGGGGAAGGACAGGTGTGAGTGAGGGGAAGGACAGGTGTGAGTTAGATTAGGTTAGATTAAGTCAGGTATAGTGATAATCTACGGTGCGGGCGACCCAAGTTCCACAACCCTCTGGGTACGATGATTTAATTTATCCCCTTGAGTAAGGTAACTTTAATCCCTGGGGTACGATGATGACTTTATCCATTGAGTACAATAACTTAAAGTCTCAAAACAATGACTTAATTTTTTTCAAGTACGATGTTAACCCTTAGAGTACATTGGATATTATTATTATTATTATTATTATTATTATTATTATTATTATTATTATTATTATTATTATTATTATTATTATTATTATTATTATTATTATTATTACTACTACTATCATTATTCCATTGTTATCATGCCATTATTACCAGTATGTCATTTCAAATAATAATAATAATAATAATAATAATAATAATAAGAGCACTAACCACCATTATCATTACACTCCCTCTAGTTCGACTCGGCTGGACCATTCGTGTTGACACTGGAAGGCCCATCTGTAGTTAGACAGTGGGAGCAGGTAGGTCTGAGGGCGTGTGTGTTCAACTTCCACGGCAGTAAGGTGGGCGTGATGGTCACCCTGCCTAACTCGGACGACTACCGCTCCGTGTTGGTGGAGGAGAACGGCGCGGTGACCTCTTACAAACCCAGGACGGCGTCGGGGGATCATCAGCATGTTGTATGGGTGAGTGTGTGTGCTCTCTCTCTCTCTCTCTCTCTCTCTCTCTCTCTCTCTCTCTCTACTGTGCTTATGTATATAATTTTTCACATATGTATATCAAGGTAAATTATAGTGTTTATTTCTGTTCTTAAATATTTACAGATTAAATCATTCTCCCAAAAGAGTTATTTTTTCCTTTACTTGATATTGTTTATTTTAATTTTATATATCTCGGTCACCCAACCTCCCTTATCTCGGTCACCTAACCTCCCTTATCTCGGTCACCCAACCTCCCTTATCTCGGTCACCTAACCTCCCTTATCTCGGTCACCCAACCTCCCTTATCTCGGTCACCTAACCTCCCTTATCTCGGTCACCCAACCTCCCTTATCTCGGTCACCTATCTCGGTCACCTAACCTCCCTTATCTCGGTCACCCAACCTCCTTATCTCGGTCACCTAACTCCTTATCTCGGTCACCTAACCTCCCTTATCTCGGTCACCTAACCTCCCTTATCTCGGTCACCTAACCTCCCTTATCTCGGTCACCCAACTAACCCAACCTATCTCGGTCACCTAACCTCCCTTATCTCGGTCACCTAACCTCCCTCTCGGTCACCCAACCTCCCTTATCTCGGTCACCTAACCTCCCTTATCTCGGTCACCTAACCTCCCTTATCTCGGTCACCTAACCTCCCTTATCTCGGTCACCTAACCTCCCTTATCTCGGTCACCTAACCTCCCTTATCTCGGTCACCCAACCTCCCTTATCTCGGTCACCTAACCTCCCTTATCTCGGTCACCTAACCTCCCTTATCTCGGTCACCTAACCTCCCTTATCTCGGTCACCTAACCTCCCTTATCTCGGTCACCTAACCTCCCTTATCTCGGTCACCTAACCTCCCTTATCTCGGTCACCTAACCTCCCTTATCTCGGTCACCCAACCTCCCTTATCTCGGTCACCTAACCTCCCTTATCTCGGTCACCTAACCTCCCTTATCTCGGTCACCTAACCTCCCTTATCTCGGTCACCTAACCTCCCTTATCTCGGTCACCTAACCTCCCTTATCTCGGTCACCTAACCTCCCTTATCTCGGTCACCTAACCTCCCTTATCTCGGTCACCCAACCTCCCTTATCTCGGTCACCTAACCTCCCTTATCTCGGTCACCTAACCTCCCTTATCTCGGTCACCTAACCTCCCTTATCTCGGTCACCTAACCTCCCTTATCTCGGTCACCTAACCTCCCTTATCTCGGTCACCTAACCTCCCTTATCTCGGTCACCTAACCTCCCTTATCTCGGTCACCCAACCTCCCTTATCTCGGTCACCTAACCTCCCTTATCTCGGTCACCTAACCTCCCTTATCTCGGTCACCTAACCTCCCTTATCTCGGTCACCTAACCTCCCTTATCTCGGTCACCTAACCTCCCTTATCTCGGTCACCTAACCTCCCTTATCTCGGTCACCTAACCTCCCTTATCTCGGTCACCCAACCTCCTTATCGGTCGTCACCTAACCTCCTTATCTCGGTCACCTAACCTCCCTTATCTCGGTCACCTAACCTCCCTTATCTCAGTCACCTAACCTCCCTTATCTCGGTCACCTAACCTCCCTTATCTCAGTCACCTAACCTCCCTTATCTCGGACAGCTTGAGCCAGGAGAGTCCCGTGACGTCCACATCCCCATTGTGTTCACGAGGAAGGGTCAGGTCGAAGTCACTGTCCAGGGCTCCACCATGATGCAGAAAGACTCCGACACGATCACTATTGATGTCCTGCCTGAGGTGAGTCCCTGAAGGGTATTTGGGGTCCTGTGTGTTGGGGATAAGAGAGGGAGGAGAGGATAGAGAGGGAGAGGGAAGGGTAGAGAGGGAGGGAAGGGTAGAGAGGGAGGGGGAAGGGAGAAGGGGAGGGGGAAGGGTAGAGAGGGAGGGGGAAGGGTAGAGAGGGAGGGAAGGGTAGAGAGGGAGGGAAGGGTGGAGAGGGAGGGGAAAGGTAGAGAGAGAGGGAAAGATAGAGAGGGAGAAAGCGAGAGATAGACAGAGGGAGATATTTATGTGAGGAAGAGACATATTTCAAAGCTTCCAATACGAGATCTTCAAGAAAAACAGAGGAATTTCAAAACTCCAAAAATATATCTAGGTTAGGTTAGGTCAGGTCAGGTCAGGTTAGGTTAGGTTAGGATACAACTGTGACTCATTTGACCTTCACTTCTCTCGCTTGCCGCCAGGGTGTGACCATCGGGAAACACACCTCCATCTTGCTGGATCTGAAAAACAGGGCGCTGGTGTATGACTTCCTTGACATAGAGCTGGACGAGTCACCCATCATCCCTTACTCCCTCAAGCGTCGCTACATCTACGACACTCCCACCGGCCACATCTCTATCACCGGTGAGTCACACACTCCTACACCTGGCTACTCTACAGTACGCAACATCACCGCAGTTATCCACCCGTTGACCAACATGTTCACATTTTAGTTTCTGGTGTGTATTAACTCGCAGGTGACGTGGTGGGTCCAGCGTTCCCTGAGGTACCTGTTGGGAGCGACTCACTCCTGGGGCTGGAGGTTATGGGGGCGGAGACGGCAGCCTTCAACTTTGCCTCTAACCTGTGGTCACTCCACTACCTGCGTCTCACTAACCAGATCAAACCCGGCATCGTCTATCAGGTGAGTATCGAGCCCGGTGATCTCCCGTGCAACCGATCTCACCATCAATGTAAGGGCAGAGTGTCGTTAATAACAAGAGAGTAAGAATTTCTCACCCACCTCCTGTTGCAGGTGTTGACGGCGGTGAACGTGCAGTACGCTGCCTTGGCTCGCTACCAGGACGAGGACGGAGCCTTCAGAATGTGGCCGGAATCTGAACCGAGTGTGTGGCTCACTGCTTACTCCCTCAAGACGCTGTGGCTCGCCAACTTCCAGGTGTGTGTGTGTGTGAGCCCAAGTACTAAAACTAAGCCCACTAACCATTTATTTTTCAGGCAACGTGAACTAAAATAACCTTTATCAACTATCTTGTGATAGATTTGGTTAGTGTTGGTTTGGTTTGACTGGTTCATTTCGTCTTTTGAAAACAATAAATAATGATTCGTCGATCCATTTCGAAGGCACGATTATTCGATAACTCGGTAGTATTTCTTTTTAATATAGTAAGACCTTCAAAGTTCTATGCCATAGGAGAAAACGGGCCATTATATATAAGGCGGATGACTCACATATTTTGTCAACTTATTTCCCTAATGACTACCCACAAACCTACTTAACCTCTCAATTGACTCCAGGTTAGTGTTATCAGTTTGTACATGTATCTAATGTCTTATATTATTGTTATAATGGATTATCTTTAGCAAAATTATACTACAATAAAAAACAGTAGAAAACCCTTTAATGTATATTTCGTAACCGGACAGTTGTAGAAAGTGGACTAAGCTTTTTGTTGGCTTAATAATTACCAAGACCTCCCACACTGCCAGGACTGGGAGAACCTCATCTTCATTGACCCCATCATCATCAACAAGGCGGCGGAGTGGATCCTCAACTACCAGACACCTATGGGCGCCTTCACCGAGACTCCCAACTACACCCACCCGCTGGACTCCAAGACCAACCCCACGGTCAGTAGTCTACCCGGGCACCAATTTACACTCGACCGTCCGTTCATTATCATGCTCCAACCAAGCTTCCCTGTGGACTGAGCCATGACATTCCAGCATAGAGCGCTCATTGTTTCTACCTAGATCTTACATGTAAAAAAAGGGAGGAAATGTAATTTGCATCCTTGGATTACTTGTTTAGATTTTCGATTTGCGACCTTCGAAGGACTCCTTCAACGTTAACATCCTGTGTCCTGTGGAGTATCCTGAGGAATGCTCAAGTATACAGTACCTTTCAGAATTTGAATTTTGCCGTGGACAACAGCTAGTTTATTGTGCACACCTTACTCAAGCTGTGAGCAGTAGCGCAAAAAGGATTATAGAATAGAGGCTACAAAGGGTGTTTATCGGATCTCAGTGATTATCATAATATGGCATTGAATGTTATAGAGTATTTACAGTACGTTCAGATAGCGCGTGTGTGTATGTATGTGTGTATCAGACGCTTTTAGTGGATCTGCTGGCCTGGAAATCATTACCAAGCTAATTTAATCACGCAGAAAAATTCCGGTGTTTTGGGGAAGAACCAAATATCTTTCAAATGCCCAAATTGATGTAAATAATCCAGATCAGAAGTTTAAAAATTGGCATGACACTAATTTCTTAACCTTGGGGACACGGCTTTAGAAGTACATGGTACTTCTTTATACAAAACAAACCTCAATGTCTCTGGTATATATTTACAAAGTGTTCAGTACAACTTATATGACGATTCAAAGCTTTTATTACAGTCGTCATCAGATGTTGACTTGTCTGAGTTAAGTTCCCAGGTGAGCAGAGTAAAGGAATTTGAAGTGAACAGAGCCATCCATAGTGTCTAATGAAGCATCACCATAAGAACCTCCACCAGAGATTATTTCACCTTAAGTTTAACCTAACCTAACCTCCCCCCCCCCCAAGAGCGTTAGGGTGGTTAATCTTTGGGTGAAATAAGCTGGGGTGGATATTCTTCAGGTGATCTTAAACTTTTGGCTCTTGGTTGAAATCTTATTTATGTTTATGGTTCCTATTTGTCGTCTCTTTTTCTCCTTTAACTGGACGGAAAAAGAGAAGAGTTTCAGTGCTGCCATCTTGTGTCGTGGTGAGGAATTTATATATTTAGTCTCAGCTACACTTAGGGGAGAAAATTAAACGTACGTGTCTTTCAGAAACTTGAGGGGCGTATGTGTGTGTGTGGGGGGTCAATAACGAAGGATTAGTCGAGTGGGCATTATCCAAAAAGGTTTCCAAGCCTAATGGGACCCAAGTCTAATAGGATCCAGTCCCAATGGGCCCCAAACGTAATATTTTGATTGATTAGTTTAGGGCCTGTTAGGACTGGGGCCTATTAAGACTTAAAAGGACCACTAGGACTCGGGCCTGTTTGACCACTCACTGTACTGAGTATCCCTGGCGTTGTCTTACAGCCGGCATTCCAGCTTAAGCGTGACGGCTACAAGAACGTGTCCCTGACGGCGCAGGTGGTGCTGGTCATGGTGGACATCCTCCCCGGCCTAAATGGACACATCCGGGCCAAGGTTAACATCGCCAAGGCCAATGCCATCAGGTAGGTGTACTGTGCCATTCAGGTCCAGGGGTGGGGGGGAGGGGGACCTATATATAGTCAGGTCATAGTCTTCTTCGGGTAGGTGTCTCCTTCAGGTCCAGGGAGGGGGGGGGGGCTATACATATATAGTCAGGTCATAGTCTTCCTCAGGTGGAGGATTAACAGGTAGTAGGCGTTAGATTATCTCATTTAGTTGCGCCTGTTAATGTTATTTTTTGTAATAGTTCTTATGTTTGTAGACATTTACTTTCACAAATACATCACATAGTCATTAAAGTACCGAGACGATCACTGTAATATTGTAAGTAAATTCCTCGGTACATAAAATAACTAAAAGTATTACATTTTTCGAGGTATGAGAACACAAAATCGTCTTAAGAGTAAAAGTTCCTAGATTTCAAAATACAAAATCGTTCCAAAGTTCTCTAAATCTATGTCTGTATATAATGATCTAAGCTTAAGATATAAAAGATTTAAAGACAGCTTACCTCACCTCTCATGATTATAAAGACCTAACTAACACAGCTTACCTCACCTCTCATGATTATAAAGACCTAACTAACACAGCATACCTCACCTCTCATGATTATAAAGACCTAACTAACACAGCATACCTCACCTCTCATGATTATAAAGACCTAACTAACACAGCTTACCTCACCTCTCATGATTATAAAGACCTAACTAACTTACCTCACCTCTCATGATTATAAAGACCCTAACTAACACAGCATACCTCACCTCTCATGATTATAAAGGCCTAACTAACACAGCTTACCTCACCTCTCATGAATATAAAGACCTAACTAACACAGCTTACCTCACCTCTCATGATTATAAAGGCCTAACTAACACAGCATACCTCACCTCTCATGATTATAAAGACCTAACTAACACAGCTTACCTCACCTCTCATGATTATAAAGACGTAACTAACACAGCTTACCTAACCTCTCATGATTATAAAGGCCTAACTAACACAGCATACCTCACCTCTCATGATTATAAAGACCTAACTAACACAGCATACCTCACCTCTCATGATTATAAAGGCCTAACTAACACAGCTTACCTCACCTATTATAAAGACCTAACTAACACAGCATACCTCACCTCTCATGATTATAAAGACCTAACTAACACAGCTTACCTCACCTCTCATGATTATAAAGACCTAACTAACACAGCTTACCTCACCTCTCATGATTATAAAGACCTAACTAACACAGCATACCTCACCTCTCATGATTATAAAGGCCTAACTAACACAGCATACCTCACCTCTCATGATTATAAAGACCTAACTAACACAGCATACCTCACCTCTCATGATTATAAAGACCTAACTAACACAGCATACCTCACCTCTCATGATTATAAAGGCCTAACTAACACAGCATACCTCACCTCTCATGATTATAAAGACCTAACTAACACAGCTTACCTCACCTCTCAGTTACTTGGAGAGGAAGCTAGAGAGTCTCGACGATCCATACGACATGGCGCTGGTAGCCTGGGCACTCACCAAGGCCGACTCTGCCAAGAAGGAAACTGCCCTCAACTTACTGGACACAATGAAGAGAGTAGAGGGTAAGATATACACTCACTCACTCACTCACTCACTCACACACACACACACACACACACACTCACTCACTCACTCACTCTCAAACACAATGACACATTCACTCCACTCATTCACTCATTATCTCAACACACACACACACAGTCACTCCTCATTCACTCCATTATTCATTCAATCAGTCAGTCAGTCAGTCATATACTCACTCTACTTATTGTTTCATATTCTTGTTTATTGAGTGATGTTGTTGTGTTGTTGTCATTCATACTCGGAGATAAGAGATAAGTCCTTCTGTTATTTTAACTGTGGGAATATACTAAATTATATTCACAGTAGACTTTATTATACTCACCGTTCGTATATTCACAATCAATCATCTGTATAAACGGATATATTATCATTCATACTCACATTAATTTTTTTTTAAAGCGATTCAGTATATAGTACATTGAATCGAGTCTAGCACCCAGCTGTGAATCGGTATCTAACGTTACAGTTGGGGAAAGGAAGAATATTGAGTACAGTGCCGGATACATAGCCCTCTTCTGTACCGTAGACTTATATTTGTATTTTGTAAACCCAGGGAACAAGATCTATTGGTCCCGTGAGCCTGTGGACTTCAACCCCATGGTGTATGAGGACAGCCAGAAGCCCTTCATCCGGCCGAAGAATGACCAGAAGTGGGACGCACACGCCGTAGAGACCACCTCTTACGCCCTCCTCGTCTACATCGCCAGGGAAGGGATCGGCATCATCCAGGAAAACATCGTCAGGTTCCTCGCCGTCATGAGGGAGCTGGATGGAGGACTTATCTCAACTCTGGTAAGGACATGAGGACTGGAGTAACGCGGTGAAGAAGTTATGGGACCACAGCATAAACCTAGCTAGTCTTAATGGGTCCACTGTCACTAATAGGCCCCTAGTCTAAACCTAGTCAGTCTTAATGAGGCCACAGTCACTAATCTAGGGAGCCTGAACCTAGCTAGCCTAATATAGTCACTAATAGGGAGCCTAGCTTAAACCTAACCAATCTTAATAGGCCCACAATCCTCTTCGTCTTCCTCTCTCTTTACCACCTAACACCCCCCCCCCTCCCACCCCCCCCTCGTTTTCTCCCTTTATGTTTATCTCCATCTTCACCACCTCCCTCTTCCCCTCCTTTATTTTCCTCCCTCACTTAACACCCTTTACTAAACCTCACTCCCCCCCTTCTACCCTTCACAGGACAGCGTGGCGGCCATGGAAGCGCTGGTAGAGTACTCCTTCAGGGCCCGGCTGAGGGACGTGACGGATATGCGGATCACCCTCGAACACTCAGCCAACCCCAACTTCACCGTGGACGTCTACTTGGGCAACACCTACGACCTGGCTGACTTGAGGTCCTTCGATGTAAGTCTCCACAGTGTAAAGGAAGGAAAGGAAGTGAGAAGGGAAAGAGAGATGGAGAAGGGATGGTTTATGTGAAAAGCGTGGGGGGAGAGAGGGAGGATGGAAGGAATATGAGAAGGAAGGAGAGGCGTGGGGAGGGAGGAAGGAAGGATGTAGGATTGTAGGAAGGAGGAGAGGAAGAAAGAGTAAAGAGAAGGAAATGAAAGGAAGGAAGGAAGGAGAGAGGGAAAAGGGACGTTTTCTTTCTTGCTGACGAAAACCACAATGCACACTCAGTCTTTTGAGAGAGATGTTGGTAATTATTCGGTAGTGACCATACACGGCTCTCTATAATGATTTGTATATAAGAAGTTGATCAAGATTACCTTCATCACTGTTCTCTCCTTAATGACGAATGGTTCTCTTGTCTTCCTTGATATGTGTGTGTGTGTGTGTGTGTGTGTGTGTGTGTGTGTGTGTGTGTGTGTGTGTGTGTGTGTGTGTGTGTGTGTTGTGTGTTGTGTTGTGTTGTGTTGTGTTGTGTTGTGTTGTGTTGTGTTCTGTGTTTGTGTGTAGCTGGAGAACATTTTTGGTTATATTCTGTGTGTGTATGAGAAAGAGAGAGAGAGAGATAATATTTTTTTAGGTCATATTATGTGTGAGAGAGAGATAGAGAGAACAACTAAGTCATCAGGGCCGGATTCAGGAGTGGGCAAAGTGGGCAGCTGCCCAGGGGCCTCCACAATCTGGGGGCCTCCACATATTACAATATTTTATTTATTTGTTTATTCATTTGTGTGTGTGTGTTGGGAATTTGTACACTACCAATAAATATACAGTTAATTAAAAATTTATCAATGTTCTAATTTCCTCAATATAACTGCATATGGCTTCAAAATTCTCCAAAGAAGTGTTCAAATTTCACAATTTTCCCGGGGGCTTACAGCGCCCCCTGGAACTCCCAGATGTTTAGGCTCGCTTCACTCGCCACCCCACCCTCTTGGGTAGTCATAATGAGGGGGGCCTCCACAAACAGGCTGCCCATGGGCCTCCACAGGTCTAAATCCGGCACTGATCGTCATATCAGGATAGGTTAAAGAAACTTAACTTGCATTCCCTAGAAAGACGAAGAGTGCGGGGAGTTATGATAGAAGTATTTAAGTGGGTGAAAGGAATCAATAAAGGGGATATAGATAAAGTTCTTATAATATCCGAGCAGGATAGGACTCGGAGCAACGGATTCAAGTTGGATAAGTTTAGGTTTAGGAGGGAGATAGGAAGAAACTGGTTCACAAATAGGGTGGTGGACGAGTGGAACACGCTTACCAACTTTGTAGTAAGTGCTGGAACTCTGGAAAGTTTCAAAAGGAGGCTAGATAGATTCATGGATGATAGAGAGTGGTAGTAACTCTCGACAGGAGCTGCCATGCACAGGCCAACCGGCCTATTGCAGACTCCTTATTTTCTTATGTTCTTATGTTCTTTGACCAGCTGACGAACATCTGGGGTCACATCAGCGTGGTGGGTCACGGGTCAGGTCAGGCTTTGGTTCAACTCGACTACAGCTACGGGGTGGACCACGAACCCTTACTGGACTACCCTCCCGTGGAAGCTTTCGACTTTAGCGTCCAAACCAAGTTCTTCGGCAGGAACAACTCCCACCTCCAGATCACTACCTGTCAGAGGTGAGTCAGAGGTCAATTATCTCACGAGAATTACTAATGGCGAAAGTCATCTTGTAGGAAATCATTAGTAGTTTTTTTATCAAGAGAAAAATGGATTCTTCAAGTCCAAAGGAAGAGTCTGGATAAAAGATCTTTCTAAAGTACAAAAGAAAAATGCATAATGGAAGTTTATATTTGTGTAATGTAATGGAAGCTATAGGTCGTTGTGGTAGATATTGTCTATATATCAGAGCTTGAGTTGTGAAGCGTAAAGTAGAACGTTTGACATAGATCCTCTTACTGTACAGTAACTTGGTGTTTATGAGTATGTGTTAGTGTTGACGTCATTGTGTGTGCTCAGGTTTTTACTGGATTTGTTATGTTAAGGTGGACGGACACTGAGGAGTCGGCGACGAGTGGGGTGGCGGTGGTGGAGGTGCACTTACCGTCTGGCTACTACGTGATGCAGGACTACCTCATCGAGCTGGTCAACTCCCGCACCATCAGGAACCTCCGCTGGGCCCTTAGGACAGATACCCAAGTCAAATTCTTCTTCAATCACGTGAGTTCTACCTTGAAGATTATAATACACTTGTTCTGATTCCATGTGTGTGTGTGTAATAATAAATAATAATAATAATAATAATTGACGGTTTATTGAAAAAGTTCTGCAGCCCGAAGGCTGAAAATATACATTGGACATAAATGACTTATTACATACATTGGTGGTTTAACAAAAGCCTTCATTAGAGAAAGGTAAAGGAACATACAGTGAACATACAGATTATTGTAGGTGTTGAACAGCAAACTCGTAGTGTAGTAACTCCCTCCCAGATGGTGTTAGGAGGGACCTCACGTGGTGTAGTAATTCCCTCACAGATGGTGTTATGAGGGGCCTCACGTGGTGTAAATTTCCCTCACAGATGGTGTTATGAGGGGCCTCACGTGGTGTAGTAATTCCCTCACAGATGGTGTTATGAGGGGCCTCACGTGGTGTAGTATTCCCTCACAGATGGTGTTATGAGGGGCCTCACGTGGTGTAGTAATTCCCTCACAGATGGTGTTATGAGGGGCCTCACGTGGTGTAGTAATTCCCTCACAGATGGTGTTATGAGGGGCCTCACGTGGTGTAGTAACTCCTTCACATATGGTGTTATGAGGGGCCTCACGTGGTGTAGTAATTCCCTCACAGATGGTGTTATATGAGTGAGGTGTGGTCCCAGGCCTTCCTATCGTAGACGGATTAACACATCGCTGGTTGTTGGGTCTCACGGGCCGTTATCACTGGGTACCTGGGACCTCACTGTGTGAAGGTTAACTTGGGTACGACTGTTACTGTTGAGTTGTTCTCACTGACTTAAGCACTGTTCACCACTGTTCACCTCTGTTTAACACTGGTTCCATTCCTTTCCTAAATGAAATAGTAACTTCTGGCGAGAACTTGTTGATATTCCGGTGGGGAAGAGGGTTCAGGGGAGGGAGTTGGTATGGGCCAACTTAACAGTTGACCTGGCTGCTCCGAGAGGAGCGCCAGGTACGTCTTGACCCTTCGGTGGTCAAGGATGTGTGTGTGTGTGAAATGTTTACATGTTGTTTTAATAAGCTATTCCTCCTCAACACACGGAATTTTAGACTATTTCTGAATTTGAATTTCTTTGGCTCTGACCCTCGCCAGCTGGACACCACGGAGACCTGTTTGTCGTATGAGGTCCAGCGCTGGCACCCCGTCGCTAACCATTCCCGCTACAACATGGCCAGAGTCTACGATCTCTACCAACCCGGTGAGTCTTGGAGGAGGTTTCTGTCAGTTTGTTGAGTCTCCCAGACAAAAAGTAGACTCAGTAAGCTAAGAGCAATGAAAGACGAAGCAACGAGGAGAGGGAAGTGTAGTATGTGGGAGCTAAATTAAAGGAGTGGTCAGTGAAGCTAATTCCTTGTAGACCCTAACCTAACCAAACCTAACGAAATACTCTTCTTATGTTTAGGTTACGTTGGGGACCATTAGACCTGGGGAGTATCATAAGACTGTCTTGAAGTAGACTAGTAGAGTTACCGATGAATTACTCGCAATATAACAGAAAATGAAAAATAGCGAGTTGATGGATAACTCAATTAAAAGGTTAATTATATCTTGCTGTCATTGGCCAGTGCTTGGTATAGATGACAGTTTTGTTTATTATTTTATATATAAAGTTGTGTATTTTATCTGTTTGAAATAATATGATGTGGTAATAATGTATTTCTCCCTCTCTCTGTGTTGTGTTCAGAGCGCTTCAACATGACGTTGCTGGAGGTCTACCCGCTCTATGATCTGGATGTGTGTGAGGTCTGCGGCTCTTATCAGGTGAGTACACTGCCCTCTTATTGTTGCTGTCTGTGTGAACCCTGAGGCTCCTATCACCAGGGGGAGGAGGCCTTCATCCAGCAGTGGGCTGACACAGGCTGACGAAGATGTGTTGTGAGTGATGATGGTGGAAGATCGTGCTTCATGACCCGTGTGAGATAGAACCATTTTTGTGGTTAATATTGAAGATGTATACAGGGTAAAATATCGCCATCCAGCTCAGAAACTTCCCTCGTGTAACTTGACTTAGCTACAGGTTACAGGTTTAGTAAATGCCTTGTGGTAAGAGAACCATAAATGTGTTTGGGAACCCTTGCAGTTGGTAGTTGTTTAGAGTCAACATCAGGGCATTTTTAACACTGGTAAACAACTCCGTCATAATGAGATTTGTTGCTCTTTTGGTGAAACAAGTTGAACTATAATCCCAAACAAGTTAATTAACAACCCATAAACCTTTAACCAAGCTTAAAATTGCTCATAACAAATAATAAAACATTAAGTAACACGAGACTAAATTTAAAGACTCAACAATATTTTGAACATATAACACTCCACAAAAAACACCACAAGAACACACTTAAAACACACCACCTCGAGTCTTCACAAAGTATACGATTAATTACATAATACACAGCCTGATAGAATTCCGGTGAATTTTCCCACAATTACAGAACAGAACCCCGTCCCCATGTTCAGCGGACTGGTGAAGACAGTACACTACCCAGGGCTTGATCACAGCTGAGGGGGTGGGGGGATCAGAAGAGGGTTAGTTAACTGACCAGAATGAAGAGTCAAGGCCAACCACACGTTACAGTACAAGGCCAATGTGTTTACAGTTTCATAATACTAATGTGTTTACCTTAGTGGCGTTACTGAGAACAAGGAAGACAATGTTTGGCAAATACTTTAAAAAGTTGGTTAGAGTTGTATCGTGTTTATCGTCTCTTATCATTAACTGGTGTGAAGACTTTACTCGGCGGCGTCAACAGACGTGAAGCAATAAAGGAAAAATAAAACAGCCGTAAATACCAGCAATGTCCTGTAGTTCTTAACTGTATATAATCTACAGTGAACCCCTCCATATAACGTACTTCTCTCTCCATTAGTTCGTTAATTGGGGGTTTCATATATAACAGACCCTCGATATAACGGACTTTCATATCCGTATAGTCCGTTAAATAGAAGTTTTACTGTACAATATATGTGACACCTTTACATTAATGATCCCTTCAATTTAACGTTGCAGTAGGTGGCGCTGACGGGGATGGTGCAGTAGTCCACTGCCAAATCCTGCTATTGCGTGGTGGTGGAGGTCAATGAGGGATGGCATTTCCAGGGTGGAGAGAGCGTTGTTGTAGCCCGAGTAGTCTGCGCCGAGCATGATTCTGCAGGCCTCTTCTGTACCTTCTCTAGCTGACGTTGTTGGGTTGAGTTGAGAGAAGACGACCAGGCTGGTGACGCATACGTTAATTTGGGGAGAATAAAGGCGTTGTAGATAGTCCTCAGCTCTGGCGTGGGTGCCCCAAGTGACCTGAGTCGTCGTAGCATGTAGAGTCGGTACGAGGCTGCCTAGATTGTGTTGTTTACATGGGCCTTCCAGTCCAGTTTATGGTCTATGGTAACACCCAGGAGTTTGGCAGACTGCTCTAACTGGAGTGGATGGGCACCCACTGTAACTGCTGGAGCTTGCACTGGAGTGGTGGCGGTATTGAAGTGCATGAAGTGTGTACAATATCCACAGTTTGAAAGATAACTGAAATTTGTGGTAGGGAGGTGCGGGTGGCCTAGGGGAAGGTCGTGCACTATATTTAAGAGGCTAATCACACGTTTAGGTTAGGTTAGGTTATAAAAGCCACGAAGGATCTATTATAATAAACTTTAATAATAAGACTCTAATATGATTAAGTCTTAGTAAAAAAGGCTCTGGTAATAAGTGTCAGTAAGGCTCTGGTAATAAGTGTGAATAAGGCTCTGGTAATAAGTGTCAGTAAGGCTCTGGCAATAAGTGTGAGTAAGGCTCTGGTAATAAGTGTGAGTAAGGCTCTGGTAATAAGTGTGAGTAAGGCTCTGGTAATAAGTGTGAGTAAGGCTCTGGTAATAAGTGTGAGGCTCTGGTAATAAGTGTGAGTAAGGCTCTGGTTATAAGTGTGAGGCTCTGGTAATAAGTGTGAGTAATTCTCTGGTAATAAGGGTCAGTAAGGCTCTGGTATGCAAGGTAGTTAATCCACAGGCTCCCTGAAGTGTATGCCAGAAGGAGTTAGGTGACGATCCATCCAGAGATTAAGCTGGTGGTCCTGGGCCTCGGTCAGCTCACCCCGCCACGACCCGGTGTTTCCTGTAGGAGGGGATGAAGGAGGGGTGAAGGAGGGGTGAAGGAGGGTGATGAAGGAAGGGATGAAGGAGGGAATGAAGGAGGGATAGGGAGGTGAAGTGAAGGAAGAGAATTGAAGAGGGTGAAGGAGGATGAAGGAGGAGGGATGAAGGAGGGTGAAGGAGGGGGGTGAAGGAGGGGATGAAGGAGGGGATGAAGGAGGGGGATGAAGGAGGGGGTGAAGGGAGGGAATGAAGGAGGGATGAAGGAGGGGGATGAAGGAGGGGGATGAAGGAGGGAATGAAGGAGGGTGGAAGGAGGGGGAATGAAGGGAGGGATGAGGAGATTGATGAGAGGAGGTGATGGAAGAGAGGGATGAAGGAGGGAATTGGATAATTTGACCGTCTGTGTTAAAACAAGTATGAAGACTAGCCTAAAATAATAATAAGACCGAATATTTTTTCTTCTCTCATTTGCTCAGATCTAACGCAGTGAAGACCCCCCCCTCCTCTCAATTCCCCTCTCCCCCCCTCTCCAAAAAAAAAAATAATAAAATAAATAAAAAAGACAAATTTCCTCCTTAACTTAAGTGATTCATATTAACAACCTTAACTCAATTGTTTATATCCACTTTTATAACACCACTTACCACTTAGCCAAAAATAAACACCCTTTACATTAATGATCCCTATAAAATTAACATTACCATGCAGCAATATTACCAACATTTAACATTTGCAACACGATAAATGACACAGATGCAATAAAACCTCATCTTGATATATATATACTGTATATAGTAATCTATCTTGACCTTCTATCACTCTTATAACTTATTTTGTAATTAGTTTTTACGATGAATTGATATAAAAAAAAACTAATTAACTTTCCCTCCTAATTTTTGTCTTGTGTTTGGTGTTATTTGGTATTCAAATATTAATTCCAATTATTATTACATGAAATCCCTAGTTAGCACATTAGAGATTACATGAAATCCCTAGTTTCCACATTAGAGATTACATGAAATCCCTAGTTTACACATTAGAGATTACATGAAATCCCTAGTTTACACATTAGAGATTACATGAAATCCCTAGTTAGCACATTAGAGATTACATGAAATCCCTAGTTTCCACATTAGAGATTACATGAAATCCCTAGTTTACACATTAGAGATTACATGAAATCCCTAGTTACCACATTAGAGGTTACATGAAATCCCTAGTTTACACAGTAGAGATTACATGAAATCCCTAGTTACCACATTAGAGGTTACATGAAATCCCTAGTTTACACAGTAGAGATTACATGAAATCCCTAGTTAGCACATTAGAGATTACATGAAATCCCTAGTTAGCACATTAGAGATTACATGAAATCCCTAGTTTACACATTAGAGATTACATGAAATCCCTAGTTTCCACATTAGAGATTACATGAAATCCCTAGTTACCCAGACACCAGGCGGACTCACCCTTCCTGAAGAAGCCCCCGTGTTGTCTTTTGGCCTCCAGGTTTACTAGGCCTACGTCCTCCTCCTGAGTCTCCGTGAACAAGTTGTCTCTAGCCTTCATCTCCTCAAAGCTGGTGTGTTTCCTTACCTGAAGAGAACGTCAACATCATCATCATATCATCATCAGAAAATCTTCCTTAATAACTTTTATGTAATTCAGCAACTGACACCATAAACTCACAGACACCATAAACTCATACAACCGACACCATAAACTCACACAACTAACACCATAAACTCATACAACTGACACCATAAACTCATACAACCGACACCATAAACTCATACAACCGACACCATAAACTCACACAACCGACACCATAAACTTATACAACCGACACCATAAACTCACACAACTAACACCATAAACTCATACAACTGACACCATAAACTCATACAACCGACACCATAAACTCATACAAACACCATAAACTTACACAACTAACACCATAAACTCATACAACCGACACCATAAACTCATACAACCGACACCATAAACTCACACAACTAACACCATAAACTCATTCAACTGACACCATAAACTCATACAACCGACACCATAAACTCACACACCAAAACTCATACAACCGACACCATAAACTCACACAACTAACACCATAACTCATACCCGACACCATAAACTCACACAACTAACACCATAAACTCATACAACCGACACCATAACTCATACAAAATAACTCACACTAACACATAAACTCTACAACCGACACCATAACTCACACAACTAACACCATAAACTCATACAACCGACACCATAAACTCACACACCTAACACCATAAACTCATACAACCGACACCATAAACTCATACAACCGACACCATAAACTCACAACCGACACCATAAACACACAACTAACACCATAAACTCATACAACCGACACCATAAACTCACAACTAACACCATAAACTCATACAACTGACACCATAAACTCATACAACCGACACCATAAACTCATACAACCGACACCATAAACTTAACAACTAACACCATAAACTCACACAACTAACACCATAAACTCATACAACCGACACCATAAACTCACAACTAACACCATAAACTCATACAACCGACACCATAAACTCATACAACCGACACCATAAACTCATACAACCGACACCATAAACTACAACTAACACCATAAACTCACAACTAACACCATAAACTCATACAACCGCACCATAAACTCACACAACTAACACCATAAACTCACACAACCGACACCATAAACTCATACAACCGACACCATAAACTCACACAACTAACACATAAACCACAACTAACACCATAAACTCATACAACCGGCACCATAAACTCACACAACTAACACCATAAACTCATACAACCGACACCATAAACTCATACAACCGACACCATAAACTCACACAACTAACACCATAAACTCACACAACTAACACCATAAACTCGTACAACCGACACCATAAACTCACACAACTAACACCATAAACTTATACAACCGACACCATAAACTCATACAACTGACACCATAAACTCATACAACCGACACCATAAACTCACACAACTAACACCATAAACTCATACAACCGACACCATAAACCCATACAACTGACACCATAAACTCATACAACTGACACCATAAACTCATACAACTAACACCATAAACTCATACAACTAACACCATAAACTCATACAACCGACACCATAAACTCACACAACTAGCACCATAAACTCACACACACTAACACCATAAACTCATACAACCGACACCATAAACTCACACAACTAACACCATAAACTCACAACTAACACCATAAACTCATACAACCGACACCATAAACTCATACAACCGACACCATAAACTCATACAACTGACACCATAAACTCATACAACGACACCATAAACTCATACAACCGACACCATAAACTTACACAACTAACACCATAAACTCATACAACTGACACCATAAACTCATACAACCGACACCATAAACTCACACAACTAACACCATAAACTATTCAACTGACACCATAAACTCATACAACCGACACCATAAACTCACACAACACACATAAACTCATACAACCGACACCATAAACTCACACAACTAACACCATAAACTCATACAACTGACACCATAAACTCACACACCTAACACCATAAACTCATACAACCGACACCATAAACTCATACAACCGACACCATAAACTCACACAACTAACACCATAAACTCTCACAACCGACACCATAAACTCACACAACTAACACCATAAACTCATACAACCGACACCATAAACTCACACAACTAACACCATAAACTCATACAACTGACACCATAAACTCATACAACCGACACCATAAACTCATACAACCGACACCATAAACTTACACAACTAACACCATAAACTCACACAACTAACACCATAAACTCATACAACCGACACCATAAACTCACACAACTAACACCATAAACTCATACAACCGACACCATAAACTCATACAACCGACACCATAAACTCATACAACCGACACCATAAACTCACACAACACCAAACTCACACCAACACCATAAACTCATACAACCGGCACCATAAACTCACACAACTAACACCATAAACTCACACAACCGACACCATAAACTCATACAACCGACACCATAAACTCACACAACTAACACCATAAACTCATACAACCGGCACCATAAACTCACAACTAACACCATAAACTCATACAACTCGACACCATAAACTCATACAACCGACACCTAAACTCACACAACTAACACCATAAACTCACACAACTAACACCATAAACTCGTACAACCGACACCATAAACTCACACAACTAACACCATAAACTTATACAACGACACCATAAACTCATACAACTGACACCATAAACTCATACAACTGACACCATAAACTCACACAACTAACACCATAAACTCATACAACTGACACCATAAACTCATACAACTGACACCATAAACTCACACAACTAGCACCATAAACTCACACAACTAACACCATAAACTCATACAACCGACACCATAAACTCATACAACTAACACCATAAACTCATACAACCACACCATAAACTCACACAACCAACAAACTCACACAACTAACACAAACTCATACAAACTACACCATAAACTCATACAACCGACACCATAAACTCATACAACCGACACCATAAACTCACACACAACATTAACCCAACTGACACCATAAACTCATGCAACTGACACCATAAACTCATACAACTGACACCATAACCGCGCAACTGACAACCGAAACTCGACTCTCTAGCCTATCTACAACTCACGTTCTCGTTGTTGCTGGGTCAGGTTTGTGCCCAGGACGTTCAGTTTCCTCGTTCGAACATGATATCAGCCTTGAGGTCCTCGGAAGACAAAGTGAAGGTTGGGGTTTTGACGCTTTCCCAGGCCTCCTTACATGACGCCAGTAGGGCCCGTACACCACTGGCGAGCGGAAAAACAATAATAATAATAATAATAATAATAATGGAAACAACAATAATAATAATAATAATAATAATAATAATAATAATAATAATAATGATAATAATAATAATAATAATAATAATAATAATAATAATAATAATGATGATGATGATGATGATGATGATGATAAATTCTCAATCAAATCATCACACAAGCTGGGTCAGCATTAATGAGTATATTGATAATGCAGGTTAGGTTAGGTTAGGTTTTTACTTGTATGTCAGGTGTGTATGGATAATTTTTTTGTTGTTGACTATACTTATGTGGATTAAAATAAACTTTCAGTATACACACTATACACATAAAAAGCATACATACAAACACATTTATACGCATACACTTAACGACACCAAAACAGACTTAGCACACACACACACACTACATCCTTGACCACCGAAGGGTCAAGACGTACCTGGCGCTCCTCTCCGAACAGCCAGGTCAACTGTTAAGTTGGCCCATACCAACCCTCTCCCCTGAACCCACCTCCCCACCGGAATATCAACAAGTTATCGCCAGAAGTTACTATTTCATTTAGGAAAGGAATGGAACCAGTGTTAAACAGGGGTGAACAGTGGTGAACAGTGCTTAAGTCAGTGAGAACAACTCAACAGTAACAGTCGTACCCAAGTTAACCTTCACACAGTGAGGTCCCAGGTACCCAGTGATAACGGCCCGTGAGACCCAACAACCAGCCATGTGTTAATCCGTCTACGATAGGAAGGCCTGGGACCACACCTCGCTCATATAACACCATCTGTGAGGGAATTACTACACCACTTGAGGCCCCTCATAACACCATCTGTGAGGGAATTACTACACCACGTGAGGCCCCTCATAACACCATCTGTGAGGGAATTACTACACCACGTGAGGCCCCTCATAACACTCATCTGTGAGGGAACACACAATCACGTGAGTGTCCACACAACACCATCTGTGAGGGAATTATTACTCCACATTGGGCCCCTTATAACACCATCTGTGAGGGAATTACTACACCATGTGATGCCCCTCATAACACCATCTGTGAGGGAATTACTACGCCATGTGATGCCCCTCATAACACCATCTGTGAGGGAATTATTACACCACATTAGGCCCCTCATACACCATCTGTGAGGGAATTACTACACCACGTGAGGCCCCGCATAACACCATCTGTGAGGGAATTACTACACCACTTTTTCAATAAACCGTCAATTATTATTATTATTATTATTATTATTATTATTATTATTATTATTATTATTATTACACACACACCAGTGTGTTGAAACTGGTTGTGGTGTTTAGACTAATTGACGACAATTAAACTGGAGGGCGAGGAGAGGGATTGGGTACATCTGCGTGCGTGTGTGTGTGCGCGTGTGCGCGTGTGTGTGTGTGTGTGTGCGTGCGCGCGCGTGTGTGTGTGTGTGTGTGTGTGTGTGCGTGTGTGTGTGTGTGTACTGTACTTACGGTCATCGTCTAAGAAGTATTGGACTAAATTATCAAAGCTTCCCACGTAGTCCATAGTTTTGAAGAGTCGTCCGTGGTAATAGAAGGATACGACCACGTCCTTTGGGTGCCGTGCCACGTACACCACCTGTACACACACACAAACGGACACATCATATAAAAAGAAAGTCACGTACGATACACTAAGAATACCACCACCATTATCACCATCACAACCATCATCACAACAACAACCACCATCACAACAACAACAACCACCATCACAACAACAACCACCATCACAACAACAACTACCATCACAACAACAACTACCATCACAACAACAACAACCACCATCACAACAACAACAACCACCATCACAAGCAACAACCACTATCACAACAACAACTACCATCACAACAACAACCACCATCACAACAACAACTACCATCACAACAACAACTACCATCACCACAACAACAACAACCACCATCACAACAACAACTACCATCACAGCAACAACTACCATCACAACAACAACTACCATCACAACAACAACTACCATCACAACACACAACTACCATCACCACAACAACCACCATCACAACAACAACTACCATCACAACAACAACTACCATCACAACAACAACCACCATCAGAACCAACAACCACCATCACAACAACAACAACCTACCATCACCAACAACAACCACCATCACAACAACAACAACTACCATCACAACAACAACCACCATCACCACAACAACTACCATCACAACAACTGCCATCACAACAACAACCACCATCACAACAACAACAACCACCATCACAGCAACAACTACCCATCACAACAAACAACTACCATCACAACAACTACCATCACAACAACAACTACCATCACCACCACAACCACCATCCACCAGCAACCAACTACCATCACAACAACAACTACCATCACAACAACAACCACCATCACAACAACAACTACCAATCACAACAACAACTACCATCACCACAACAGCAACAGCAACCACCATCACAACAACAACTACCATCACAACAACAACCACCATCAACAACAACAACCACCATCACAACAACAACACCATCACCAGCAACAACTACCATCACAAGCAACAACTACCATCACCACAACAACAACAGCAACCACCATCCCAACCAACAACTACCATCACAACAACAACTGCCATCACAACAACAACCACCATCACAGCCAAGCAACAACCACACCATCACAACAACAACTACCATCACAGCAACAACTACCATCACAACAACAACCACCATCACCACAACAACAACCACAGCCACCATCACAACAACTACCATCACAACAACAACCATCATCACAACAACAACTACCATCACAACAACAACAACCACCATCACAACAACAACTACCATCACAACAACAACTACCATCACAACAACATCACCATCACCACAACAACAACAACCACCACCATCACAACAACAACTACCATCACAACAACTACCATCACAACAACATCCACCATCACCAACAACAACAAACCACCACTACAACAACCACCATCACACAAACAACTACCATCACAAACAACTACCATCACAACAACATCCACCATCACCACAACAACAACAACCACCACCACTACAACAACCACCATCACAACAACAACTACCATCACAACAACATCCACCATCACCACAACAACCAACCACCACCACTACAACAACCACCACCATCACCCCAACAACAGCAACCCAACAACAACAACCACCACCACCACAACCACCACCACACCACCACCACCACCACAACAACAACTAACCAAGCAACAACAACCAGCAACACCACAACAACAACAACCGCCACAACCACCTCAGCCACTACGCCACCACCACAACAGCCACCACCACCACCACCACAACAATCACCACCACTACCGTTACAACAACAACCACCACCTCAACAACCACCACCACAACAACCACCACCACAACAACAACCACCCACTACCGAAACCACTACCACCACCACAGCAACAACAACAACAGCAACAGCAAGCACCACCACCACCACCTGACAACAACAACCACCACAACTTCCTCAACCACCACTGCCACCGCCACCACAACAACCGCCGCACCACCACCACCACCACCACCACCATCATCATAACAACAACCACCACCACCACCACAACAGCCACCACCACCACAACAACCACCACAACAACCACCACCACCATCACCACAACAACAACAACCACCACTACCACCACAACAGCCACCACCACCACCACAACCACCACCACCACCACCATCATCATAACAACAACCACCACCACCACCACAACAGCCACCACCACCACAACAACCACCACAACAACCACCACCACCATCACCACAACAACAACAACCACCACTACCACCACAACAGCCACCACCACCACAACAACAACCACCACCACAGTTCATGAAGAAGGTTGTAGCATCACAAGCATTAAGTTATACATTATTCTTCCATAACACAATAACAAATAACAATAAACTAACACGTATTCACTGCCTCGTTGTATAGTATTATTTATATCATTGTAAGCCTAGCGGTCTACAGTCCTGCTTTTGGGCCATTCTAATTTTATCACATCCTCGTCTCCTCTTTTCCTCCTCCTCCTCTTTCTTCTCCTCTCCTCTTCCTTTTCTCTTTCTCTTCTTTCTCTTCCTCCTCCTCCTCTTTCTTCTCTTCCTCCTCCTCTTCTCTTCCTCTTCCTCTTCCTCCTCCTCTTCTCTTCCTCCTCCTCCTCCTCCTCCTCCTCCTACTCTTCCTAGTTAGGGTTCAAGAACTATTTTTAACATATACTGTAGTGAAGATGTTTATACCAAGGGAACGATGTACAATACCTTGGCGGTGTTCAAAAGATCTGGTGACAGGAGAGAGAGAGGTAAGTGAGTTTTAATGGTACGCGGAGGATGCTGCGACTCCGCCAGTTGAAGGAATAGTCCCTGGGCGAGGTCCTTGCCTGGGGACATCCTGGCAAACTCCTTCATTAAAGAGGACTCCGAATCAAGGGGCGGCAAGGCAGTCGATCCTAGGAACATATCGCAGCTGGAAATAAAATATGAATTTGTATCAACTATAGTTTTAACCATGAACATCATAACATAACATAACATTTTTTATATGCCAGAGAGAGAGAGAGTAGTAGTAGATTGCTGACTCTGAACATCAAAATTCACTTAAGCTCACGGCAGCCCTCACTGACCACATAATAGCCCAGAATGCAACAGGGGAAGTGGACACCAGCGAAGTTAATAAGATCCGTAGGTCCATTACAACAGATCGGCAGCACTGCCAAAATGACATGTTGCAGCAACTATTGCTGCTGGTTCCAGAAAATTTGACAAAAAAAGTTGCTATAGCGCAGGAGGTGGGCGCCTCGAACTGGTTAACTACGTTACCGATAAGGGCAAATGGTTTCAGCCTTAACAAACAAGAATTTACAGATGCCATTGCTCTAAGGTACGGTTGGCCAGTAGATGGTTTGCCCTCCCAATGCGTGTGTGGCTCTCCCTATGATGGCGATCACGCCATGGTCTGCAAGAAGGGGGGCTTCATATGCATGAGGCATGACGAGGTAAGGGATCTCACAGCAAATATGTTGAAGGAAATCTGCCGGGACGTCATGGTAGAACCGACCCTCCTTCCACTGGATGGCGAGATCTTCTAACATAGGACTTCAAACACTTCTAACGAAGCCCGTGTGGACGTCAGTGCTCGAGGATTCTGGACGCGGGGACAGCGAGCTTTCTTCGACATCAGGATTTTTGATCCCATGGCCGTTTGTCACCGTAACCTAGCTCTCGATGCTGCGCATAGGAGGAACGAGAACGACAAGAGAAGGGCATACGGGGAGAGAATACAAAATGTTGATCAAGGCAGCTTCACTCCTCTAGTGTTCACAACCTCGGGTGGGATGGGCCCAAGTGCAAGATGTTTCTACGCCAGACTCGCGGAGCTGATCTCCGAACAGAAGCAGCAGCCCAGAAGTTATGTTACAGCCTGGATGAGATGTCGACTGTCCTTCTCTCTCCTTCGGTCGGCTTTGCTCTGCCTCAGGGGAACGAGAGCTTCCGCCCCTACTCCGACAACTGCTGCAGATATTGACTATGAGGCTACAGTCACTGAATGCCGCATAGATCTGCGGCTCAACTAATTTAACACAGATAGGATAGCTTCTTATGTATTAGGATATTTAATATTAAGGTAAATAAATGGTGGCGAAGGTGTGGCTATTGGGGGAGGCTGGAGCCACGTTTAAAAAAAAAGTAGTAGTAGTAGTAATAGTAGTAGTAGTAGATGGTGGTAGATGGTATCAGGAGAATAATGATGGTAGATGTAGATTGTACTAGGAGATAGTGGTAGATGGAGATGGTAGCAGGAGACAGTGGATAGTGGTAGCAGGAGACAGTGGATAGTGGTAGCAGGGGACAGTGGATAGTGGTAGCAGGAGACAGTGGATAGTGGTAGCAGGAGACATTGGATAGTGGTAGCAGGAGACAGTGGATAGTGGTAGCAGGAGACAGTGGATAGTGGTAGATGGAGACAGTGAGTAGTGGTAGATGGAGACAGTGGACAGTGGTAGTAGTAGACAGTGGATGGTGGTATATGGAGATGGTAGCAGGAGACAGTGAATAGTGGTAGCAGGAGACAGTGGATAGTGGTAGCAGGAGACAGTGGATAGTGGTAGCAGGAGACAGTGGATAGTGGTAGCAGGAGACAGTGGATAGTGGTAGCAGGGGACAGTGGATAGTGGTAGCAGGAGACAGCGGATAGTAGCAGTGAGAGACTTGACTCACTCCAGGAAGGGTACACGGATGTTGATAGGTTTCCCCTGATCGACGTGATCCAGGTTCGGGTTTTGCCTCATCGTCCATAGTATCTCCTGCATCCACGTCGTCCCACACTTCATCCACGTTTGCACCAACACATCGGTCGGGTCGAACTGTGGATTGGAGAGGAAGAGGGGGGGGGGTGTTCTCATAAAACTGACTGTAATTCTTTAAGGTATTTCGGGGGAGCGGGGATGTTTTCATAAAGTTGTAATTCTCTAAGGTATTTTTTCCTCTATTTCTTAAAAGTATCTATACCTTGAAATTATATAACTTGTTAGCGAAGAGTTGGTAGTCGGTCGGGAAGAGCCACCTGCCGGGGTTGAGACGAACTAGGCCTTGAGTGTAGCCTTTCCAGTCCTCTTTCTGACGCTTCAGTTCCTCCCCTTCCAGAGCTACTAGTGTGTGTCCACTCGCCAGCTCCATTTTCTTACTGTTATTGGGGATGTACAGTATATTTACAGATAATGTACGGGTGAATAATTATATTTATAAATTTTGCACGAATGAATAATAATTATACTTATAGACCAAGCACGAATGAATAATTGTACAGTTTCAGCCATATATTCTTTGCCAGGTTCTTTTAGTAACCCGATTATGTGACATTTATCAGCCACAGTCATGTGTATTCTACACTGTCGTTACCGGATATTTAATAAGCACATCCAGCATACTATCTAACCATACGGCCTCCCGCTATGATATACAGGATTATGATGTTTTTAATTTGTGCTTAAGGAAGCAGTAGATCCTCGCGAATCTTCACGTGGCTGACTCCCTGCGTCACCTAAACCAAGGGCTATAGAAGACCTTGACCACAGACTGGCCCCTGCACCCCCTGCCACCACCACTACTAGTATGTCCCCTGCACCCCCTGCTACCACCACTACTACACTGTCCCCTGCACCCCCTGCCACCACCACTACTAGTATGTCCCCTGCACCCCCTGCCACCACCACTACTACTATGTCCCCTGCACCCCCTGCCACCACCACTACTAGTATGTCCATCAGTGTAGATGGTCTGTGTGATATTATCATCAGTCTGTAGAGTGTGTATGTGTTCAAGGGCTCTCAATTTGGCAGTGTGTTGGAGATAAATGCTTTGTATAATTAATTTTTTAGGCGGATACGTCGGTATTGTGATATCGAAGGGAACTGTCCGCCAGGGTGGCAGGAAGCGCTGTTGTGTCTCAACTTTGTACAGGTGGTCTAGTCCAAATATCTTCATATGTGTAGCTGTAGTTTGGATCCATTTAGACTCAGTAGTCCCATGGTTCATACATTCTAGCAATTTTAAGGAAACAATGTTATCAGGATCACCACGCAGAAGCCTCAGGGCTATCATGAGGTTGACTTCAATTATTCTATCTTTAACACTGGGTATACCTAGTTCTTTCCTCATATTAAGTACTTTAGTGCTCATGGGACATCCTAGGATAATTCTGAGGGCTTTATTTTGCATTTTCTCGAGCTTGTCAACTCCTTTCCCGTCACGAATGACCAGGGCTGGTGCGTGGTAATCTATCAGAGATCTTATATAGCCTAGGTACATTGTTTTAACAATTCTAATATTAGCACCATAGTGCGGGCTGTACCCCGCTACACTTCTAAGAGGGCTGGAAGTGCTGTTGTTGTGACTCAACCTGACGGTAATATAACTGAGAAAGGAGTTAGAATTAACAACTGGGCATCCACTCTACAAACTGAATTAGTTGCCATACTCACAGCTATTAAATTCATTGAAACCACTGTTACTGACAGTCTCATCATCACTGACTCTCTATCCTCACTACTTGCCCTTGGTACCCTCGACTCAGGTTGTCACGATCTTGTCTCTGAAGCCAGACACAAATATGCGTGCCTTGTTGACCGGGGAGTCAAGGTCAAACTGTTGTGGATCCCCTCTCACATAGGCCTCATAAAACATGACAGAGTTGATGCCCTCGCCAAACTCGCGTCTAACAAAGACACCGTTGAATACAATTTGGGTCTGTCAAAAAGAACCCTTAAAACTGTAATTAGGAAAGAACTTATTGATGAGTTTGACGCAAGTAGACAAGTGCAAACAGGCACTAGTCGATCCATAGTTTACCATGATGAGATGTATCAAGTGAAACATGTATATGGAGCAAGTAACAAGATCACTAGATTACAAGATGTTGTAACCGCTAGATTAAGGTTAGGATATAAGTACCTCTGGCAGTATGTTCCTCAAGCAGATGTAAACAAAACTAAATGTAAAGTGTGTGGCCATACATATGGCCACACACTTGAACACTACGTCCTCGACTGTGTGAAGATAGAACCTTTTAGGGACAGGTCCAAGCACACTGTGTGTGAAATGGCACAACACTTCATCTCTAATGGCAAGATAGCCGACATATTAAGATTGTATCCACTTTTTTGCACTCAGTAACTATATCAGTTCTCATGTACAGAACCAAATATGCAATGTGCTTGAATACCTCCCACGTAAATGTGAATAATAAAGTGTGAGGCCAGACATACTGCCTCACACGCCTGTTCTCACGCATTTGTGAATAAGTTACCCTCTATGTATAGAACTAAACAAATAATGTAAATGAAATACTGTGTAACTTTCGGTGCCATAATATCCTGACAACCGGGGTTAATTATTATGACCCTTTGTAAACCCTACTCTGTAATCCTTTTGCGCTACCGCTCACAGGATGAGTGTGGGGTGCACAATAAAGTAGCCGCTGCAAGCGGCAAAATCAAAATCAAAATCAACTAGTATGTCCCCTGCCACCACCACTACTAGTATGTCCCCTGCACCCCCTGCCACCACCACTACTAGTATGTCCCCTGCACCCCCTGCCACCACCACTACTAACCACCTAGTATGTCCCCACTACTGTCACCCCTGTGCCCACCACTACTATGTCCCCTGCCCCCCTGCCACCACCACTATGTCACCACCACTACTATATGTCCCTGCACCCCCTGCCACCACCACTACTAGTCCCCTGTATCAGCTCCCCTGCTATGTCCCTGCACCCCCACCACTACTAGTATGTCCCTGCTACCCTGCTACCACCACCACTAGTGTGTCCCTGCTGCCACCACTGTACTATGTCCCCTGCCACCTGCCACCACCACTACTACTAGTATGTCCCCTGCACCCCCTGCCACCACCACTACTACTCTGTCCCCTGCACCACCACCTACACCCACCACCACACCACTAGTACTAGTGTCCCTGCTACCACCACTACTAGTGTGTCCCCTCTGCCCACACCACCACTACTAGTGTCCCCTGCACTGCCACTATAGTATGTCCTGCCACCACCACCACTGCTATGTCCTGCACCACCACCACCATGTCCCTGCACTGCTACCACCTGCTACCACCTGCCACCACCACTACTAGTATATGTCCCCACTACCACCACTACTAGTATGTCCCCTGCCACCACCACTACTAGTCCCCTGTCCCCTGCCACCACCACCACTAGTATGTCCCCTGCCACCACCACTCACCACCACCACTACTATGTGTCCCTGCACACCACTCATGTCCTGCACCACCACTCTAGTATGTCCCCTACCACCACTACTGCACCCCCACCACCACTACCCACCACCACTCACTGCATGTCCTGCCACCACCACTACTTGTGCTGTCCCTGCCACCACCACTACTAGTGTGTCCCCCACCACCTACTAGTATGTCCTGCCACCACTCACTAGTATGTCCCTGCCCCACCACCACTGCCCCTGCCACCACCACTACTAGTATGTCACCTACCACTTACTACTAGTGTCCCCTGCCACCACCACTACTAGTATGTCCTACACCACTGCCAGTATGTCCCCTGCCACCACTGCTAGTATGTCCTGCCACCACCACTACTAGTATGTCCCCTGCCACCATAGTATGTCCCCTGCCACCACCACTACCTGCCACCACCACCACCACCACTGTGTCCCCCGCCACCACCACTACTACTATGTCCCCACCACCACCACTCCTGCCCCCTGCCCCCTGCCACCACTACTAGTGGTCCCTGCCCTGCCACCACCACCACCCCTACCACCACCTACCACCACTACTGTCCCCTGTCCCTGCACCACCTGCCACCCACCCTGCACCACCACGACTACTGTTTCACCCCTGCCACCACCACCACTACACTGTACTGCACTACCCCTACTGCCCACCACCACCACCACACTGGCACCACTACACCCCTCTGCCACCACCACTGCACCCCCCTGCCCCTGCACCCCGCCACCACTATGCCCCCCCCTGCCTGCCACCACCACGACTACTATGTCCCCTGCACCCTTGCCACCACCACCACACCTGGCCCATCCCCCTGCCACCACCACCACCACACTGGCCCTGCTGCCACCACCCATACCACCACCACCACCACCACACCCCACTGCCACCACCCTGCCACCACACAGCACCACTGCCCCCACACCACCCCTGCCACCACCACCCCTGCCCCCTACACCACCACCACCACACACTGACCTCTACACACCCCTGCCACCACCACCACTACACTGGCCCTGCACCCCTCACCCCGCACCACCACCACCACTGCCACCTCTGCACTGCCCACCACCACCACACTGACCCCCCCCACCACCACCACACTTGCTTGCCACCACCACCACTCACACCACCTTGCCACCACCACCACCACCACCCACTGCCCCTGTCACCACCACCACTACACTGGCCCTGCCACCACCACCACTACACTGGCCCTGCCACCACCACCACCACCATTACTGGCCCCTGCCCCTGCCACCACCACCACCACACCTCACTGCCACCACCATTACACCCCGTCCCACCCACCACCACTACTTACATTTTCACCACCAACCACCTGCCCTGCTGCCACCACCACCACCACAACACTGGCCCCTGCACCCCTGTCACCACCACCACTATACTGATCCCTGCACCCCTGCCACCACCACACACCACCACCACACTGGCCCCTGCACCCCCACCACCACCACCAACACTGGCCCCTGCCCCACCACTGCCACCACCACCACACTGGCCCCTGGCACCACCACCACCACCACACTGGCCCCTGCACCCCCACCACCACCACTGGCACTGCCCCTGCCACCACCACCACTGACCACACCCACCACCACCACTGGCACCACACTGCCACCACCACCCCTGCACTCACCACCACCTGACCACTGACCCCTGCCACCACCACCTACACTGGCCCCCTGCACCTACCACCACCACACTGGCCCACACCCCACCACCACCACACCCCTGCCACCACCACCACACTGACCCCTGCACCCCCACACCACCACCACTACACTGGCCCTGCACCCCCTGCCACCACCACCACTACACTGGCCCTGCACCACCCCACCACCACCACCACTACACTGACCACTTACACCCCTGCCACCCCTGCCACCACCACACACCACACTGTGACCACCACCACCTGCCACCCCCACCACCACCACCACCCACGTTGCACACCACTAACCCTCTCCACCACCACCACACTGGCCCTGCACCCCCTTGCGCCACCACACTGACCCCTGCACCCCTGCCACCACCACCACTGGCCCCTCACCCCTACCACTCACCACCACACTGACCCCCACCACCACCACCACTGACCCTGCCCCTGCGCCACTACACCACCACCACCACCCCTACCACACTGACCTGCAGGCCCCTGCACCCCTGCCACCACCACCACCACCACTGACCCCTGCACCCCCTGCCACCACCACCACTACACTGGCCCCTGCACCCCCTCTGCCACCACCACCACTACACAGGCGTCTAGTTGTTGTCTTGACGTTGGTGTCCTTGATACTTTCGTTGCATTTTAATTCATCACTTCGTGTCAGGTTACCCTTTTTGTACGCACTTTGCCTGCAATGTTTATTAAGTTTCTCTGTTTACGTTTTTAATTGTCTTCCTTGTTGATTTTCCTCATTTGTGTTGTATTATTTCAGTGTTCGTGGTACAGTATGGGTAGTGTTTGTTATATTGTTGTTGTTTATTTTGTGGCACCAGTGATAATGAGACTGTCACTGACAGTGGTTTCAATTAATTTAATAGCTGTGAGTGTGGCAACTAATTCAGGTTGAGTCACAACGACAGCGCTTCCAACCCTTCTACAGGCGGTGTTCAGAGATCCTTAAGTGTAGATGGTCTGTGTAATGTTATCATCAGTCTACATGGTGTATATGTGTTCAAGAGTTCTCACTTTGGCAGTGTGTTGTGTATTTTACCTTGCCAGCAACTGCCACTACAACACTCAGTCGTCAGGAGTGATACTCAAGCAACAGCCATGGGGTCCAGCCACCATGGAGTACTATCCGACGAACTCTGCAGATCCCAGTGGGTTAATTCCACCACACAAATATAGCCCTACTGAGTTAGACACTCATCCACCAATGATGGGGGCTGGTAGTGGGGTGTGGCTTGGTGGTCCAGGGTCACCTCGTGGACCGAGCGTTAGGGCCAGACGAGCCAGCTATGGGGGCTATAGGTGGTCTGAAGTGTCTGACGGCCGGGTCTCACGAAGGTAACTGATCCTACTGGACCTCGGACATCTCCCCAGACATAGTGGATACAACATCCACCCTACAGACACGGCCTAGGCTGCGTTAGGGACCTGTATGGATGAAGGGACGGGCACTTACTAACCGGTGACAACAACATCACGTTTCAGGGGACGTTAAAGACGTAAATATGACTTTACTCAGAGCATATCAACTACGTTACTGTAACACTTGCACAATCAACTATCAATTGGGTCAAATCACTTAAAGAAGGGCAAATTACAACACAGCGTGGAATGGCATACCTGTATGGATGAAGGGACGGGCACTTACTAACGGTTAAAATGCCCGCGTGCCCTCACTCAAACCAGACCAGGGAGTCCAGCTACTCCTATTCCAATGAATTAATTTACGGTACCCTCTGACGTTGAAATTGAGACTATGAACTCCTTTTCATTCTCTACTATTATCTTCACTAACAATGCTCTGACTCAGCTATCGAAAGCAGAATTAAATTGATTACAAAGGAATGGATGGCAACAGGTCCCAGCATACAGCGTCTGCTCCCATAGACAAAGGCGGGGGAAACAGAGAAAACGGGGGACGTTTCCACTGGGGGACTCGGAAGGTTTTGTGGACGTTTGAGCGTAATATGAATCCTTAAGGTTTTCAGGTTAGCTCTTATCATGACCATTACAGTTGGAGATAAATACTTTGTATACTTAATCTTTTAGGCGGATATACCGGTATTGTGATATCGAAGGGAACTGTCCGCCAGGGTGAAAGGAAGTGCTGTTTGTCTCAATTTTGATGGTCTAGTCCAAACATCTGTATATATGTAGCTGTAGTTTGGATCCATTTAGATTCACCAGTCCCATGGTTCACACATTCCAGCAATTTTAAGGAAACAATGTCATCAGGATCACCACGCAAAAGCCTCAGGGCTATCATGAAGTTGACTTCAATTATTCTATCTTTAACACTGGGTATACCTAGTTATTTCCTCATATTAAGTACTATATTGTTCATGCAACATCCTAGGATAATTCTGAGGGCTTTATTTTGCATTTTTTTCGAGCTTGTCAACGCCTTTCCCGTCACGAAGGACCAGGGCTGGTGCGTGGTAATCTATCAGAGATCGTGTGTTCTTGTGTGTGAAACAATTACATGTTTCCTATATAATAAACATAATGACAGCGATATACAATACATTAGAATAGTCATATTATATTCTTGATATCAATAAATATAACAAACAAAACATACCATTGAAAGATTTACCTTAGAGGTCACTGGGTCTCGTAAAACTCACTAACTCACGATATCACCGTTGAGGTATCTGTGTTCTTCCAGCGAGTGTCAACAGTCGCTTCGAATCTTGAAATGTGTATTTATAGAGGTAATAGAGGTAACCAGAACTCAGTATCGGTGTACTGCAGAGGGTTGAGTGGACGGGCAGCGATGCCAAATTAAGCGTCCTTGGGCTGAAGCGCATTCCGCTACGTATTATCAGATACCACCACATTCCTAACTAACCAGAGAGACAGAGTTATTTTATAACGGACATTCTCTAATTTCTCATCATGTATTAAGACAGTTCAGATATACAAACACAGTATACAGAGACAGTTCAGGTACACAAACGCAAAAACATGAACATGCAAGTGATGACAGTGTGTGCTTCCACTCAACACATCCGACATACCAATGAAGTGTTCCTGCCTCAAGATAACACCACACACTGGACTAACTATGCTTCATGGTAACTGGGACAAAGGATGTCAGTGTGGATGCAGTTGTAACAAGATTTGCTCAGTTGAAGGTAAAATTATCTTTTCAATTATCCACCTATTTGAAATGGTCAGAATCGTTGAAAACACACCAAAAACCATCGGAAAAACCTAACCTAACCTAACCATACCTAACCTAACCTCGCTGGATGACCGAAACGATAATAATACCCAGATGAACTTTTTATTGTTATTTTATTGTACAAACAGAATAATGTTAATATTGTATGTTTTCAATATAATGGTACCAGTACATTGTATTTTCAATGTTTGTAACAGACCGGTAAAGGAAATACAAACGTGATAGATAAGGAACAGTTTAGAAATAAATACACATTAATAAAGGAAATTTGGAGGCTCATCTCCCATTAATCCTATTTTATCTATATAACATTACCTATTTTCAGATCATTGTGTATTTATAAACGATATTAAGAGCAAAGTCATCATTGAAAGCGTATACAGTTGACAACAAGATTAGTGTTCATACAAAGGTACACAGTGGCAGCGAGAGGCGACCCGAGCAGGTAATGTATACTGTGTCAGTTGGAAAACTTAAAGGTGATGCCGATTTCGTTCAAATTGTCTTCGATCCATTTATTAATTTTATCCTCCATTGGGGGTGTCAGCTTGGTCTGCCAGTCACCAATATCTCCTGAAAATAACACGTGGTAGATTATTATTATTATTAAAAAAAATTAATTCTCATGTTCAATTGTCATCTTCTGTAATGCGTCATCGATGGATTCCGTAAGAGTATGTAAATTATTTAAACTAAACCAAAGCATCTATTGTCATATATGTTGACACTTCTGATGTAGAGGAGTATATTTGTTTTATTTTTGTACAGTAATGTACTTGAGTACACAGTGTGATGGTCTTCCTGGAGGTGGAATAACCGTGTCTGGACTAGCATCCGTTATGGGGAGGAGTAACCCACTAGTGTATACATCATGTAGTGTAATGATGCCCTCTGGTGAGTGTTATAGCTTACATCACTAACAACTCTGTTCTGGCGGAGTGTCAAGAAGGCTGTCTTATATCTCGTTGATTCAAATAAAGTAAGACAGACACATGAATCAACGAGACAGGAGAAGTAATTCTTCTTGGTTCACCAATAGAAGAGTCATCAGTGTACACCAAACTGTCTTACCCTTCCTGAAGAAGCCCCCATCCAGGCTTATGATGTCCAGGTTAAATTTATTTGGATCGTCTTCCATTTCTCCAAGCAGAGCTTTTCTGGTTTTCATTTCATCGAAGCTTGTGTGTATTGCTACCCTTTCAAGTTGATTTTCGGTCAACATTGTGCCTAAAAAGTCGTTTAGTTTTCCCAACTCAGCCATTGTGTCAGTCTTCAAATCCTCATAGAAGAGGAAGTGAAGGTTGGGATGTTGACGCTTCTCCCAGGCCTCCTTCACGTGCAGCCAGTAGGGCCCGTACACCACTGGTGGGGGAAACCTGTCTTGATCATAAAACATCTTTGTCCCAGAATTTATTGAACAACACTGGTAGAGACACTCCCTTGACACCTAATCGGGTGTTAAGACCATCTATACGCTAGAAAAACGGGACGAATCTAGGTTAATGGTTGTCTTTGTCGTATATTTTTAAGATGTTGAACCAATAATAATCTTAACACAAAAAATGTCTACTGTTGATTAATACTTAACGTCAGAGACCGAGTATTTTCACTTAAAACTTACCGTTGTCGTCCACAAAGTACCGAACAAACTGCTCGAGCGAGCTCTTGTAGTTTACTAGTTTAGTAATTCGACAGTGGTGATAGTAGGAGGTGACCACATCCTTGGGATTCCTTGCTACATACACCACCTGAGGGACGAAAAGATCCCATAGCCTCAAAATCGTAATTCGTATATAAAATGAAGTGGCCTTGAGGCAAGAGTACACGACCCCCTAGCTATACAAAGTGTTATTCACATGTTATTTATTTACAAGACTCAGTAAAATTCTACGAGTGATGTGAGTTACCTTGGTAGTGTTGAGGAGGGAGGACGGCATGAGAGAGAGAGGCAGATGGGTTTTGATGGTCCGTGGGTCAGGTGTCGTCTCCAATAACTTTATCATCACTCCCTCAAGACCATCCTCTGCTAAATCTGTGAACATGTCCAATCTGTGTGTGTGTGTGTGGTAGTGGAAAATATTTAATAGGCAATTAGGAACCAAAAAAAAAAGGGGTTTTTTCAAAAGTATTCAAAATCACACGAAAGTTAACTCAAATTTCCTCGAAAAATACAAATAAAAGAGGAGTAAAGGAACACAGCAGTGAATACTTACTCCAGGAAAGGAGAGCGATACATGATGGGTTGGTGAGTCTTGGAATGCTTCAGGTCCGGGTTATTCAACATAGTCCATACTACCTCCTGTACCCACGTCGTCCCACATTTAGGATACGTCATTACCAACACGTCACTCTGTTTGAACTGATTTACAAAAGTGATGACACTATTAAGATGTTTATAATGATGAAGAGGTGAGACAGGAAGGAAGTTTCAAGTAATACACGTGATTGAGATAATTCGAAATGAATAATATTTGAGAGCTATCAGTATTTGTACTCGCTAACACAAAATAAAACCACACATGACGCGATGAAAATTTGGCTTATTAATGCAACTTTCTGAAGCTTCCGTCACAGAGATTAAGATATAAGATTCCCATTCTTGAAAGTAAAAAAATTTCTCACCTCAAAATTGTAGAGTTTATCAGCATATTTCATATAGAGCCTGGGGTAGAGCCACCTGCCGGGGCTGAGGCGGAGAAGGTCTTGGTAGCCACAGCCAGTAAAATCACTCTTCAGTTTAGCCATTTCCTTCTCCCCCAGGTATTTTATCTTGTGGCCACTATGCAGTTCCATATGTGCCTGTATATTAGTTTTGTTTTACTATTATTGTAGAAAATGTAAAGTTTATCAGCTTAGTAGGAAGCTGTTACCTATAACAACGCGAGAAACAAAGAGACTAGTGGCCGGAACTACTCCCTGTGCACCGCAGAACGAGACACACAGGTACACGCTCTGATCAGTGTAGATACTGGAGTAACAATGACGAAGTGGGCTTCTTAGCTAGAGGACTGGGGACTGGCCTTGATGAATGCCACCACACACATCGCTGGCTCCAGATAAACTTTCTATTGTTTTCTTTGACCAGATTTGTTTACATCCGTACAAAAACTTTTCGGGGACGGATACACACAAAATAAAATAATTGTTTGTTGAAAGAGCTCGTGTGAGGCATCTGGTCACGCTGCCTTGCAAGAACAGTCTTGGGGTGTACGACTCCATTTACGATGACCTTCTTGCCCTGATCTTGTTTCAGGAATACCACCTTTTCGAAGCTCTGGAGATATCTCGAAGTTTCGATATTTTGAGTACAGCACTAGCTGATAATTCCCACCAGGAAACTTGCTTCGAGACTCCTCCATAGCTTCGAAAAGTGCAGAGTTCCATGTGTTAAAGGCGATATTGCTGAAAAAAGATCAGGGCAAGAAGGCCATCGTAAATGGCAGGTCAGCACAGAACCACTGACTCCCACCAAACATTCCCGAGGAAAGGATACACAAATCTTAAGCCACATGGCTCAGAGAGAGGAGAGAGAGGTAGAGAAGGACATCTGCCCTGGAGAAGACAGAAGGCAGAGTCATCTGCTCTCAAGCAACCCTGGCCCCAAGAACGTCTCCACAAGTCATCTCGTCACAGTCTGTGTCCATATTTAGACATCCACGTTCACTCTAAATATTTCTTCTTACACGAGGAAAACTATTTACAATTGATACATATTAAACTGATGTTAATGTCAGGTACAGTTTAAAGCTTGACATATGAAAAGATATTTTATAATGTCATTAGCATGATAATTCAAGCTCTGTTCTGCATTAATTTACCTTATTTACCTAATGGCCATCCACTAGAGGTCACCAAACCGAGGGAAGGAAGCCAGTGACCTGTGTAGGATCCCTCCATCGTTCATGATAATTTTGTCAAGGACAATTTTGAAGCCCAGTACCGTTTGTGATTCCACGAAGACTTTCCTTATGTTTGGTGGTGCGTGACATCACAAAGAAATGTCCCGGGTTCACGTTTTCCATCTCTTGAAAGTTGAATGAGATTTGCCCTATTGTGCCTCGTGAAGATGATGACATCGTTCCTGAATCATCTTAATCGCTGTGTTGCGCCTTTTCTAGGGATGTTTGGTCTTTCTGGAGGTAGAGTTTTCACGTCTGTATACAGTAATCCAGACTGAGGGTACGTGAGATTTGTACAATTTATGTATCTTTGTATTCGAAGGTATGTTTTATAATTCCCAAATCTCGGTTTGCTTTCCTTGCAGCTACCCCCACCTGTTGCACTGCCTTCAGTGAATGAACTATCACAACGCCTAGATATTTCTCTTTATCGACAGTATCCAGGAAAGTGTTATTAACAGAATTGTTGTGGTTGAGGTTGTTGTCAAAGTCTAATTATACCGGGTATAAACGCCTTAGTTAAGGACGTTCAGGTGAAGGGCAAGTCGAAGGGAATGATTGAAACCCATCGTTTGACGCATTCAATATTTATTGATGTGGTCAAAACCTGCAGACAACAAGGCGTTCATTAGTATTACTTGGTAATCTATCTGATACATAATTAGTTAGTCTCACACAATTTATTTTAATTATAATTGATTATTGATCATGATGACATGAAACAAAGTTCATAAATCTATTAATCTTAGCTACACTTCATTCCGCGTTGTCTTATTGCTCCAGATAAGACAAGAACGAGTGGACATAATTAGTCCACAATATTTCAGTACTGAGGGGTATGTCATCACTTTGGCTGTACTTACAAGTGCAGGTCAATGCGAACCAGTACGGTGTTCCAAGGGACAATAGTACTGTGTAAATTGTTCCAGCACAAAAAACTCGGCCAGGATTGAGAGTTGCTGTTCACCACTGCTAGCAGAGTGCTGATCCTCACAGCATCACCTGAGGGAGCAGTCTACTAGAGTCCAGGCGCCCACGTCGCCTTTTAAACCATACATTTTGCAGAGTCAGGACCTCTTCTCCGTAAACACTGCCCACCCCGTAATCAGGGGATGATAAAATCAGGATAGATGGCAAGAATATGTTCTAAAACAATGGGATGGTTCAACTGTACACGCCCTCGACCTTACATAAGCTCTGCCCAGGGGCGTGGATAGACTTTAGATTTTGTTGCGACATCGTCTTGACTTATCTTCGTGTCGTCTGCAAATATGATAATATGGCTCGATATGATCTCATCTATATCGCTCATATTGATCACAAACATGGTAGGTCTAAGGATAGAGCCTTGTGGTATTCTACTGAAACCCCTTTTTCCATTCAGAATGCACTCCATTCCTCTTTTTGCCTGTCGTCAATCCAGTTGTTAATCTATTTCAAAATCTTGCCTGTTATGCCACGTGCCTGCATCTTAGAGGCGAGTCGTGCAAGTGACTCATCGCCCAAGCGGTTAACAAGCCGACAAGTGGCGAAGAGGATGAAGTAAAGTATATAGTAAGGTAATGGTCGATTATTTCTTAGAAATAATTCAGGGTTACGTTCTAGAGATTGACAATTTTGTTAAAATAATTCCGGATTACGTTATACTGATTTATACTTTTTAAGGGTGGTTGTATTAACACAAATCTTCTATTTGCGTAACTGAAAGCTTTATTTCTTGCTTAAGATAAAGGTTTATGCTTCTACAAATACATAAATAAAGGATATTTTTTAGCTAATACTATTGCGTTACTGACAAGCCAGACGTGATTCTCAAAGATTCGTAGATTAATTATTTGTCGTAGACGAAGATATGAGAACATCTTTAACTGATTAACTTAAGCTCAAACGAAAAATAATCATGTATATAAATAACATGATCCTACATTAACTATAATATACTCACCTGATATTATGAGAAGCAAAATTAACATAGAGAATCTTTAGGGAAATTTAGACTGTTAATTTTTGTTTGGTGTTAAGTTAAACGTATCTAGTTAGGGTATAATTTGGGGTGATATTTATTTGGATATTAATTTTGAACTTCAGTTTAAACCAACCAGTTAATTGCATTCGTATATCTCGACGAATCTTGGACGAATCTTTAAGAATCTTTAACCTGCATAGAAAGAAGTAAGCTGAGAGCCGTCACCAGAATCTTTTATAATGATTAAAAAAAAAAAAAAGATCACGAGTCCTTATAATCACTTTACCTAGAACATGAAACTTGCCAATCCCCCTCCCCCCTCCCACATGTCAGACGAGTCGCCATCAACAAACTGCCTGGTCCCTCCTTCCCTCCCTCCAACTTTTTTTTTTTTTTAACTCCAGTGTCTCCGGGAGCAGGCAGGGAGGGAGGAAGGCAAGACCATTTCTCTTGGACACCCTAATAATATACACAAGTGGATATATCGACTGAGCTCCTCTTATGGCGTCCTTAGCAACCACCACCATTCCTGTGAGTTGATTGGTTGCTGGTTACTAGGTGATTCATAACTAACACCCAATCAACTCGTAGTTATGACCTATGATGATTGGAAAAGAACATCATTAAGTATTACCCGTTAATGGTTGATGGTCTTGGTGGTGTATATGCTGAAGGAATTGGGGGGGGGGGATACTTTTCACTGGATTCTGTATAAGTAAGACACTTGAGGGATTTTAAGGCACGGAGGAAATATCGTCGTTCAGGAGGTTAGGGGGGGGGGGCTTGGCGTGGGTACATCTGTTTTGATCCATCGAGTGAGTCAGGTGTGGTTTACAGGGTGTACTTGAAGGGGACTTGGTTGAGGTTCTTCTTGATCCACTGGTCGAGTTTCTCCACCATTTCAGTCGTAAGCTTCTCCTTCCAGCTCCCCACCTCACCTGCGTAGTGAAGATGAGGTGTAGATGTTTGAGTTTATTCTCACACACACACACACCTTCCTGACTTCAGTTCAAAACTGATAATATGTTACATAAATTTATTTTTGACCTGACCTGACCAGTCACGTCACCCCCTTCTCTTAAGCTCCTCTACGTGTGTGTTGGTGTGGGGATTAGTGGATGACATCATTATGACCTGACCTCATGTTTTTAAGGTTACCCTGTATATTTAAGCCTCTCTCTGTCCATGTCCAGGGGTTTAAATTCTTGACGGCCGGGGCATGTTGTTAAATAATAATCACTGATGGAGTAACAGATTCAGCATCACGTTCACCATATCGCTGAGGTATTTTCGTTGCTTTTGTTGGGGGGTGAGGGGAGGTGTTATTCACACCAACACCTGACTTGACTGCAAAAAAATAAACCCAGTGAGAGGGATTTTTGTTTCCAGGGGGTTGCGGCCTTAAAACTGGTGACTCCTCCTATTGGTGACCCTTACTGGTGACTCCTCCTACTAGTGACTTAACACAACCATGTAAGTGAAGACGATAGAGAGAGAGATAGTGTGTGTGTGTGTCATAACTAAAGTCTCACAGAGGCCACCATTTTTCTCAGGCCATTGTGTGTGGTTTCAACGGGGATACGACTCCTCTGGTCTAAATCGGGATCATACAGTATTTTGCGTGTGTGTGCGCGAGAGAGAGAGAGAGAGAGAGAGAGATCACCTAATACTCCTACCCCCCATTAGCCTCTCTCTCTCTCTCTCTCTCTCTCTCTCTCTCTTTTAAGGGGTCTAATTTCAGGGTTGGTGTAATTTCTGACGATGTGTAATTAGACGAGAATTTTGTTTTCATAATCCAACACATAGTTTATAGAATTAACTTATGTATAGCGTTGTTATAACATTTTACAGTTTGCTGAGCATTCGCAACCATTTTGTATCACTGTGCATTGAAGGATTTGTTTACGATGGGTCATAAGCGAGAGGAGGAGTATAATTATAGTCAGTCTGTTTATTGCGTCACACTCAGCCACGCTCAGCAATATGACGTATGGTTTTGTGATTGGATACTGTGGCAGTATTTGTTTTCGAACTGGCCAATCACAATTTAAGACGAGAGAAAGAGGGTGCGGGGGCTGCTACTGACTGACCTTTCCTGAAGAAGCCTCCGTCCTGCTTCACAATATCTGGGTTCATCATCGGGTTCTCTGATGACTTGCTGCCCATCAGGTTGTCTCGGGCCTGCATCTCACTGAAGCTGGTGTGTCTGGCCACCTGTAAGAAATTTTATGGTGGATTACATTACTAGGAAGAAAAAAGACCTGGGAGATGTTGGAAGATGCTTTGCTAGGAAGACAAGAAGACGACACTGGAAGATGTTTTGTAATGTATACTTTACTGGTAAGAAAAAAAGGTCCTTGGTGTAACCAGGGTGTAGAGGTAACATATACCAAGGTTATGTTGCTTTTATTTCATGCAAGATATGAACATTATAGAGAAAACTTTACTTGTGTGACAAGTATAACTCAGAGGAAAGAGCGAAAAAGTCACTAGGATATATACAGTATATCGTGTTTTACATTCTCAAGTTGTTCTTGGTTGAGTTTTGTGCCCAGGAAGTCGTTCAGTTTCTTCAACTCGGCCATCGCGTCAGCTCTCAGGTCCTCGTAGAAGAGGAAGTGAAGGTTGGGATGTTGACGCTTCTCCCAGGCCTCCTTCACGTGCAGCCAGTAGGGCCCGTACACCACTGGTGGGGGAGATAAGGTCTTTGAGGTAGCGACACTCACAGCTTCCCGCCATTCAACATAAACAAACGATTCGACCAGACTTATGAGAATAAATTACTTGTTCTTTTTCCTTCACTTGTTTGAATTTACGGTGAAGCCCAAGAAGATTAAGGTCCCGCTATGGCAGAGAACCTAAACAAAGCTGAAGAAAAAAACATTCAAAGGGACTAAACACCCCCCCCCCTCCACACGACTCACCATCATCATCAACGACATACTTGATGAACTGGTCAAGTGTGCCGGAGTAGCTGAAGTTGTTGATGAGACGACAGTGGTGGTACAGAGACACGACCATATCGCGGGGGTTCCTGGCTATGTACACCACCTTCAGGAGAGAGAAACAACATATATCTGGTGCCGCGGTACTCAACACTTCTCTAACAGTCCTGTCTGAGTCTAAATACATTATGGTATTTACATTATGGTACTCGTCGGTGTATAAAAGATATTAATATTAAGGTCTTTGGGATATGTTGAAAGAGACGCGTTTTGCCTTGGTTTAGTCCTGATACTGTCCTTTATCCACTTACCTTGGCCTTCTCCAGGAGTGTAGGGTGCAGGAGGGAGAACGGCAGGTGGCTCTTGATAACCCTGGGGTCGGGCATGGCGGCAGACACCTGGAGATTGACACCGTCTGCTGGGTTGGCTCCTGGACACAGCTTGAGGAAGCCTTGAAGAAGAGGGTTATCTGGGGTGATCGGTGGCATCTTCTTCCCGTCCGTTAACATGTCCATACTGAGAGAGAGAGAGGATCAAGTTGCATGGCATAAAATAATCGTAGTCTACAATTACATATATGCATTTATCTTTGTAACAACTAATGCAATATAAAACAGTACATGACTAATAATGGCTAAACAAACAAACACACACACACGGTGGCCTTACTCAACAATAGGAACCCTGGACAGGATGGGCGTAGTTGCCAAAGGATTATCAAGGTCTGGGTTATTCCTCATGGTCCATACCACCTCTTGCATCCATGAGGAACCACACCTCGGGTAGCTCATCACCACCACGTCACTGCCTCGCCACTGTGTGTGTGAGAGAGAGAGAGAGAAAGACTCCATGTAATAAGAACATCTATTAAAACCATATAGTCGATTATATCATCTTCATTAGTGTTACACTTAAAAAAAACCGTCAGAAATAACTCACACCTGAAATTTAAAACAAGACAGTCAATAATACCTGAAAGTTGTAGATTTTATCAGCATAGTTGGTGTAGGCGGAAGGGAGGAACCAGCCACCGGGGGTGAGTCGTACTAGACCGTGGGTGAAACCGATGAAGTTCTTGTCCTGCTGGGCGAGGTCTTCTCCCTCCAGGGGCGTAGCCTTATGACCACTCAGCAGAGACTCGTTAGCCTCCGACATGGTAACACTTCTGGATATAGAATGTTAATGTGGGCTGGTCACTTTCTCTTTAGTTTTAATAATTCTGGTGTTTATCATTTGTACCAACTGACTAGATAAGTGTACCTGACTCGAGCTTCTGTGAGTGTGTGAGTGCGTGGGTGTGTGAGCATATAAGTGTGTGAGTATGTGAATGCGTGGGTGTATGAGTATGTGAGCATATAAGTGTGTGAGTATGTGACTGTGTGAGTATGTGAGTATATAAGTGTGTGAGAATGAGAGTGGTATGAGTATGTGAGTGTGTGTCGTGAGTATAGAGTGGAGAGAGCCTATCGTTGTCCGTGGTTGGAGTAGAAAAGTAGTCTCCTTTGATCGTGTCTCTTCGTCAGTTGATTTGATAAGGATCATTTTGTTGTGTATTATCTCGATTGTGATTGTTTTTGACTGATGAGGTGGGGGGGGGGGTAGTTCTTCTCGTGTGCTCACTTAATCTTACACTTCCCACTTAATCTTACACTCCCCACTTATTCTTCCACTTCCCACTTAATCTTACACTCCCACTTAATCCTGCACTTCCCACTTAATCTTACACTCCCACTTAATCTTCCACTTCCCACTTAATCTTCCACTTCCCACTCAATCTTCCACTTCCCACTTAATCTTCCACTTCCCACTTAATCTTGCACACCCCAGCACTTGATTTATTCTCTGCCTCACCTCTGAACACTGGCGGTTAACAAACATCTTCCAGTCACTCAGGTCGGTTGCCCAGAATGTTAACAGCCTCAATATATATATTGTGTTGAATGTAAATCAGTGTGTGTAATAAAATGTTCCTTGGGGTAGGTCGGTGATAACCCATCTTAACCACAATCTAACCCAGCCTAACCCATCTTAACCACAATCTAACCCAGCCTAACCCATCTTAACCACAATCTAACCCAGCCTAACCCAACTTAACCACAATCTAACCCAACTTAACCACAATCTAACCCAGCCTAACCCATCTTAACCACAATCTAACCCAGCCTAACCCATCTTAACCACAATCTAACCCAGCCTAACCCAACTTAACCACAATCTAACCCAATTAACCACACCCAACCCATCTAACCACACAATCTAACACAGCCTAACCCATCTTAACCACAATCTAACCCAGCCTAACCCAACTTAACCACAGTCTAACCCAACTTAACCACAGTCTAACCCAACTTAACCACAGTCTAACCCAACTTAACCACAATCTAACCCATCTTAACCACACTCTAGCCCAGCCTAACCCATCTTAACCACAATCTAACCCAGCCTAACCCAACTTAACCACAATCTAACCCAACTTAACCACAATCTAACCCATCTTAACCACAATCTAACCCAGCCTAACCCATCTTAACCACAATCTAACCCAGCCTAACCCAACTTAACCACAATCTAACCCAACTTAACCTAACCGAACCAAACCTGTCCATAATCTAACCCAGCCTAACCTAACTCAACCAAACCTAACCTAATCCAATCTAACCACAAGCTAACCTAACCCCCCCCAGGCAGTGTTGTAATCATCAGGTGACACAAGCTGCTGCTGCTGGTGGTGGTCGTGGTGGGTGGGGGGGGGGGGCGAATCGTTCTCTGATCCCGCATTAGTTTAGCAGGAGAGGAGAATGTCTCTCACGGGCATTCTCATACCTTCGGTCAGAATGATCATGTATGAGAGTTAATGAGGAAAGAGTGAGAAAGAAAAGTCAAAGAAACATCACGGTAACAATAAGAGTGAGAAAGAACAAGAGTGAGAAAGAGCAAGAGTGAGAAAGAACAAGAGTGACCAAGAGTGAGAAAGAAAGGCACAAGAAACATCAAGGTAACAACAAGAGTGAGAAAGAACAAGAGTGAACAAGGGTGAGAAAGAAAAAGAGTGAGAAAGAACAAGAGTGAGCAAGAACAAGAGTGAGCAAGAGTGAGAAAGAACAAGAGTGAGAAAGAACAAGAGTGAGCAAGAACAAGAGTGAGCAAGAGTGAGAAAGAACAAGAGTGACCAAGAGTGAGAAAGAACGAGTGACCAAGAGTGAGAAAGAACAAGAGTGACCAAGAGTGAGAAAGAAAGGCACAAGAAACATCAAGGTAACAACAAGAGAGCAAGGCTGAGAAAGAACAAGAGTGAAAAAGAACAAGAGTGAGAAAGAGCATGAGTGAGAAAGAACAAGAGTGAGCAAGAGCAAGAGTGAGAAAGAACAAGAGTGAGAAAGAACAAGAGTGAAAAAGAACAAGAGTGAGAAAGAACAAGAGTGAGAATGAACAAGAGTGAGAAAGAACAAGAGTGAGAAAGAACAAGAGTGAGAAAGAACAAGAGTGAGAATGAACAAGAGTGAGAAAGAACAAGAGTGAGCAAGGCTGAGAAAGAACAAGAGTGAGAAAGAACAAGAGTGAGAAAGAACAAGAGTGA